TTACACGGATATGGTTAATATCTACCTGCAAGGCAGTATAAAAAGAAACATCCTCTTAATTTAAGACAAGAACGATGCTCGAAATAAGTCCAATACTAAAATAAATGGCATTTACTTGAAGAGTTTCAAAGATTAGAGGAATGGACTGGAACAGGCAAGTAATGACGGTGTAGGAGAATCAAGCTTCTCGAATCTAGTAGCAGCAAAAGCATGCTATACTACAGGTCCCACCTGTAAATGCAAGTGATGGTAAACATAATTATTTTCATATTGAAGCTGAAAGATTCAGTGATGAGAGGTGAAACAAATAGATACATGAAACTCAATCAATTCAGTAAAGGTTCTGAAAGTTTTAACTGCAGAGATATCCTGCAACTCCTCTTGAACCCCATACTAAGCAGCAAGGATGGAGATTTTATTTAACTGAAACAAACAATATAGCAAGGCCAACACACTAAGCCCTCATAGAATATGAATATAAATGCATCAGTGAGTTAGATCGAGAAAAATCAATAGAGAAGAAAGCACCTTTCAACCCATCTATCAAGAAAAGAAGATTGGCATTCAAGACGTTCTTGTTCCCATGTCGTCCCTCTTTGTGTGTCTCTTCGTCTGCCCCAGCACTGAAGTTTGGCAATCAAGTGAGCCAACAACTGGATCCAAACACGACAGACAATCATTAAACAGCCACCAAACCATTGAAAACTCCAGTGCCCTAGTTATGGAGAAAAGAGAAGAAACAGAAGTCCAAGCAAGCAAAACGGAAATCAGTTGTATAAGTGAAAACCGTACTGATAACTATGTGGCCATTGTCGATGTGTGAAAGTCCGACACCTTCGCCGTCGTCAGCATTCTTGTACCTTCAGCGTCGGAGCTCCCTGCTGCTAGACCTCGACCAGAGAGATTGCAAAGAATCAATGTATAATGTTGCTAAAATCAACAATTTTGTTTGCCTCTTTTCTGCAAGCGAACTAACGCCAAACACCTGTGGAAAAATCAATGATCCTTGCAGCTGGTCCTCCTTGGCACCAATGGAGGATTCTCACCATTGCTGCCTCTGTTTTTTCCCAACGACAGGAGTCGAAGAGAGAGGAAGAACCAAAAAGATTGGGATATGGAGGAGAGTGGGTAAGCCAGGATACGGGAACAAAAGACTGGAAATCAGAGAGGACAAGTTTTCTCCCAATGCACAGTGGGGTTGTTGCTGAATCCAGTTGGTGTCGTGTCCAAGCAGCTGTGACGGATAGGAAGGAGGCGTGTCCAAAGAGCTCTGCAAAAGCAGCATGGGCGATGGCGTGAGCTGTGAAGGACCATATGCGGAGAGAAGGTAATTGGTAGGAGGGCAGTGAAGTTGACCACGGAGCAGGGGGAAAAGCATGGTTGCCCAGTGCAGCAGCCGTGAACTTTTGGTGGGTCGAGGCGGTCACCAAAATCAGGTCTGAAAGGAGCTCTCCAGTGGAAGGTTTGAGGTTTCAGCTCACTAAACGCCAAAAAGTGAAACAGTAGCAAGAAACTTTGGGTAAAAAGCGTACCCACTAATTATATATAGAAGGAATAATTATGCTATGTACTCCCGCAAAGATAACTTCCATCCTCTCCTTCGAATTTCACGGCTGCAGATATCGAGGCTTGTGTCAAGCGGTGGGATTGAGATTTGTTCAAGCCAGATCCGACAATTGATCTGTTCGGTAAACATAGCAGCAACACAACGTCTTAAAATTGTTAGAAATCGAATAGATAAATTAGGGTTACCGAATCTGGCTGAGTCGCGAACTAGGTCACTCTTTTTAAGACGTTCGCAGCACTGCCTCGTAATGCTCACAACAGATTATCAGCCGGTCGCCTCCAGGATAAAACAACCACTCTTTCGATTTGCTCAGCGTTTTTGTGCGAAAAACGGAGCTCTATGAACTCACTCTCTTTCTCGTGTTATGCTCCCTGAGGTGTGTTTAGAGGGCCTGGGGGGTCTGCTATTTATAGGAGCCGAAAACCCAGAATATTCCCTCTTTCTTTGGGAATAAGTCGCATTTTAATTAGGGAGATAATTACTCCCATAATTAAAATATATTAAGATAATTAATCCTAATTATCTCCATAATATTCCTTTTATTAATTATCCATCTTATTTATGTATTATGGGATAATACTGGATAATTTCTATAAAAAAAAGATAATACTGGATAATTAATTAGGAATTTCATTTATAGTTTTTCAAAACTATTCATCCCAACACATAGTAGGTGTGATTAGAGTCCCAAACAAATGGTAATTAAATAAATGGAGGTTGTTGACTTTTGGTGCAGATAGATGCTCTTGCCCCACTTGAGCTGGCCAGTGGCCATTGTCCACCCACACTCTTCACTCTTCTAATTTTGTTCATAATCATACTATTGTTTGGTTGATTTATTTTAATTATGAAGGGAGTTAATTGGACTCTAATTACAAGACTGTATCATACCCTACTTCAAAGTTGCATGTCGTAGATAGAAAGTTTCATGGAATCATCTCTGAAATGGGATGTTTCTAGTGGCCTCATCCTTGGCAACAAGTATTACTATATATAATCTGCACCCACTAAGTAGATGATGATATTGGATCTGGTGCTCAATAGATTGCCATTGTTTGTTTTATTGCTTCTGTAAGAGACGGACAGAACTTAACTTTTTATCTTTGCTTGCTTCACATCAAATATCCATCCGTTTGTCTCATGTCATGGCAGTCAGTCAGGAAATACTAAATTGTGTAATTGGGGGGCAGGGGAGCAAAACAGGGGAAGGAAGGAGCAGAAAATTAACCAATTTCATAACATATACACCATCTGAAACGCATTCGGCAGAAGAAGAAAACGGGGAAAATAAGCAGAAAAGGCATTAGATGGATGGTCTTAAAAGTAAAAGATACAACGTTAAAAGTTGAGACGAAACAAGATCACAATAGGACATGAGACGAGGGTTTCACATGGAACAGAGTGTAGTGGATTAAGAGGAGGATCCATTGGGGTCGAATGAACCATAAATACGTGTTGTCAGTTTTCAATGATCGGAGCTCCTCTAACCACTGTGCTTCTTTCTTGTATTTGTTGAGCCATGTTCATGGTGACAATTTCCAGTTGGCGGTAGCTACCGCCAGAAGTATCTAACCAACAATTGTCAGGGATGACACTTATTCCTTATTATTGCGATGGAATTGGAAAAGTTTGGTGTAACGTGTTGCATGGCCTACGATGAATGGGATTGTTGTCAAATAGGCAACTGTATCATATAACATCATTGTATAATAACAATTATTATCAGCCATGGAGGAAATATGAATTTTATGTAACAATGTTCTCTTTTAAAAATTTAATTAAAAATGATGATTAATTTTTTAAATAATAAAATATTCTTCCAGTACAAGTTACTATAAAATACCACAACATGTTTTCATATTCTGAAGAAGATGTAAATACACCTAGTGTTTACAATACTCATTACTCAACATATCATACTAGAAAATCATTCACAAACTGATCGCCTATTCTATTCGGAATCTAGTTCTTAATGTAACCCAAAGATGAAAAAATTACTTACGATACTATACTGATTTTCATAGTCGTTTCACAAGCAATTGACACTTCAGCTACTTAATGGTCAACCATCATAGTTAATTGTCACGTAAGACGAATTTAACGAAATTGGATTACCAGTAATCAACAATGAAACAAGATATTAAAGTTAGTGACTCATAAGAAAGGAAAAAAATTTGAGTGGCAAACATGAAAAAATGATAAACTGAGTGCCTGAACATGCAATTGAGTAGTAATGTAATCGTAAACATGTTCATTAATAAAAAGTAGTGTTACTCGTTCCAGAATAGTCAAAATCAAATCTTTAATATTTTACTTACCTATTCCGATCCTGATTTCACTATAAAATTTATGGACCTTAAAATCCTATACTATTCATTATTTAAATACTTAAAATCTTACGATTTTACGAGTCAAATATTTGGGTCAATTTTACTTATTTTTCTCAGAATTTGCAAAATTACACCTCTTTTCGTTCTCATCCACCAACATCATCTAGTTCTCTCACACTAACCACCATCGACCATCATCAATTCACATTAACGTAATTTACCACTTCCTAACATTTTTTTTATTGAAACCTGTGTTACTTTTATTAACTAGTGGGGGCTGTTATATTATCCAACTGTAACTGCTCAAGTAAAAACATCGACGACCTATCAAGCCAAACTCTTCTTTCATTCTATCAGATATTCGAATGTGCCATAAGGTGAGCTGCTTCATTACCTTTTATGGTTCACATGTTGCCATGAGCTTTCTCCCATTGCAAGGAGATATCGCCTTATACTTCTGCATATTGTGCTTGTCTTTGTGTGGAGTGAGTCCTCATTGTGAAGCTTATTCACTAGATAATTGCTACTTCGATTGAGTTTTAAATTTCTAAAGTCGAAGCGCACTCACTAGTCAACTCCAACAAGGCCAAGTATAACCTAGCTAGGGATATAGTAAAGTGGCTCGGTCGTATTTCAAAGGGTCATGGTATCCTAGACTAGTTAGACTCGGTCGTTACCTAGTCAACCAGTTACTTAGCAAGTGGACAGTTGGCAATTATGAACTAGAGATCGATAAAAGAAAAGAGGTACTCGGGGTGACTCCCTCGCCCTAAACCTATGCAAATGACTAACTGTGTTGGATTTATAGGATAGGATGCGGATCACTCTAATACGGAGATTTCAATAATTACTTTCCCTCCTCCTAACACGGCCCACAAAGACCCAATGTCACCTTAGTCAATGTTTACGTGCTAGGGATGCTCACTTAGTTCCTCTCAATTGGCTCAACCTATCATGCATACTATATTGATGATTCGATCAAAACGCGTACGACCTCTGTAGCATATTGCTTTAGAAGAGCATTCATATAATAAGGGTTCGGTCGCCACGTCCACTAAAAAACTCTAAGATCATTCATCTATCCTTAATTGCTTTAGGAAGACATCCATTGGTTTGAGTTTGGTAAAATCCTCCCCATTACCATCCCCACTTTGGAGGCGATAATCTCCATCACTCATGTAGGCTGGCTGACTGAAGCGCCAAAAACGCACCGTATCACGAGGATTCGCTCGCCTCCGTCTCTCCGATCAGATGTCTGCAACTGAAACAAAAATGGAGCCTCGATTTCATCGTTAGCGTTAATGGAGCTCAGCTCACTCCACCAAACAAAGGCCAGCCAGAGCTACAAATCCTTCGAAACCTTACGCCGCCGCTCCTTCTCCATCATCTAATCTCTTTCGATCCCTCCAAAACCCCTTCTGTTTAGTGGAGTAGGAAACAAACCATGGCTGCAATCTCCAACTCTCTGATTGTCTCCAGAAACCCTCAGCTCCCCAACCTCTCTTCCGGTAATTCCTTCATTCGCTTTCTTAGATCCCCATGTTTTCGTCTTCTTTGGCTTCCGTTTCGTGATTGTTATGCTCATTATCTGTTTCTTCTTGTTCTTCTTGCAGGTGTCGCACCTACAGTGTTGTCCTTCAATCCCACTCGCCCTCGGAGCCTCCGAGTTGGTCCCTCGAGAAGGTCGCTCGTCGTCCAAGCTGCCTACAGGTACCATTAGCTCTCCCCATGTCTTCCTGATGGTAGAACTTCATAGACCGATGATAATGGGTGATGGAAATTCAGTCTAATGAGCTGCTTATGGCTTTGAGCTTAGGGAAGGATTTGCACCTTCTTGTTACTACGGTGTTGCTTTGGTTTATAGAATCTGCAATTGCTATAGTGAATTAGACATCTAGCTGGTATTAGCTTCGTCGGCTTCTGCAGTGGATTCATTCTAGAGATGTTCAGGGTTACGTGCTTCTTGTGGTTTGTACGATTTTCTGGTCTCGTTTGTGGTCAATTGCACGTTAATTTTTTGCTTTCCAGGGATGGTGAAAGATCAGGCAGTACCGGAATCTTCATCGGCGGGTTTGTGTTGGGAGGACTCATTGTTGGTGCACTTGGTTGTGTTTACGCACCTCAGGTCTGATTGTCTTTCCTTACTGAATTGTTCTTCGGCCGTGTAAAGAATTTAATTCTCTTCCCTGTTGATCCTTAGAAAAGCTACTGCAGAGATGGTTCAATGTGATGTTGATCAGCTTGTGAGTTTCTTGTTTCTGTTGTTTATTGTTGTCCATTTTAGATCAGCAAGGCACTAGCTGGCGCTGATAGGAAGGACCTAATGCGCAAACTCCCCAAGTTCATCTATGATGAAGAGAAGGCTTTGGAGGTCAGCACTTTCTTCCTCTCTTTTTACATTTAGCTTTAGTTAGTTCATTCTTGTGTTGTGTTGCATCACCCAATTCAGCCTTTTTCGGTTTGTTTCGATCTTAAAAGTCCAGAAAAATCTGCAGGAAACCTGTAATTTGCTCTAAGCATTGACATATTTTCTCAGTACTACTGTTTCATGCCTTATCTGTTGGAGACGGACATTTCGCCTCTGATCTGAGTTCTAACAAACTTTATTCGTGGCTTTGCGCTGTGCCATTTTGTCTATTTGGTTTTGCAATGCATAACCAGTTTGATATTACGAGTCAGCATCTGTTCTAGTTCAAGCAACGAACTTCTTGATGGAAACCCTTCTAATGACATCCTCCTCTTTCACTTGTTTTGTTTTCAGAAAACACGAAAGATATTGACCGACAAGATAGCACAACTGAACTCCGCCATTGACGATGTCTCTTCTCAGCTCAGATCAGAAGATGCCCCTAAAGAAGACACGTCTGTGAACCCCGATGAAATTGAAGCTGCAATTTGAGAAATCTGTGTGTGTGTGTGTGTTTTTTTTTGGTTACATTGTTGGTATACAGTTTACTAAGCGGTCAGTAATTTTTGATAACTCTGAAATAACAACAGCTGAAACCCATCTTAATGCGCTTTTTAGTAGCTGTTTCTGTGCCGTGCCTCCCAACTCCCAAGTACAAATTGTGTATTGACTGTATGCTACTTGCCTCCTAAGACGTTGGGCCAAGATTGATATACACTTTTACTTTCATCAGTTGCCATTGTAATCGAATGCTCTCTCACATCACCTCTTGAAAGTACGTTGTAGTTCCCATTATCCGATCCATTGTGATTGATGATGAATTCGTTTGGAATTCAAGCATGAGTTGCACCAGCTTGAACTCGACGGGTATGCTAAAGCTGTGGCTTGGAGAGAAAGAGTGCCCTTGAAAATACCATCCGATCTTGATATAGATATTGTTACATGCTTCAAAGTCCTCTAGACCATCGACTTTCAGTCCTCTAATATCAGCCATAGATTTAGGCACAGTTGGAAAATCTACAGGATGAGAACGAAATGTTCCTCTCGTTCTGATAGAAGGGCAATCAGGCACAAACACTGAGATCTTATCCCCACAGATTTTGTCTACTGACACTCTCGCCCACACGTTCTCTCGACGATCTAAGGACCACAGATTCTCCAAAGTGTTGGAGAAAAGAAAATAGATGAGAAAAAGGGAAGTGAAAAGCTGAAGAAAACGTATTTCAGCTGCCACTCTTATATACGTGAAGCATAGTTGTCAAGCTAGAGTTTAGCTCTTTGCAGCAGCCATGGCCACTCACGCAGCTCTTGCTCCTTCAAGGGTTCCTGCCAGCACCAGACTTCCTTCTTCCAAGATCACTCACTCTTTCCCTTCTCAATGCTCCACCAAGGTTATCTTTCTGTCCTTCCTTCATTCCCTTGTGCATGTTATTTTTCAAGTTCCTGATCAAAACGTTGACATGGCTTTTATGTTATTCTGCAGAGGCTAGAAGTTGCAGAGTTTTCAGGGCTTCGCGCCACTCCTGGCGTGCTGTACGCCAAGAACACTACTGAGGCATCCTTCTTCGACTCTGTTGCTGCTCAGCTCGCTCCCAAAGTTAGTGTTGATCGTGTTCATAGCCACTTGCTTCTGTTTAATTGACTCCGCATAGGCTGTAATAAGTTTTGCTTGAATTGATGTCTTGGAAGTCATCCATTTAGCTTACAGCTTTCGGTCTTCATTGGAATTAGGCTGCATCCGCCACACCTGTAAGGGCGGAGACTGTTGCCAAATTGAAGGTGGCAATCAATGGATTCGGACGCATTGGTAGGAACTTCCTGCGGTGCTGGCATGGTCGCAAGGACTCACCTCTTGATGTTATTGTTGTCAATGACAGCGGCGGTGTTAAGAATGTAAGTAGCCTCTGATATCTAACTTGTGAAAAAAGATTGCAATTTTCTTTATCAATTTCCATGGGTAGGAAATAAGGGATCTGTGTGCTTGTGCAGGCTTCCCACTTGCTGAAGTATGATTCGATGCTTGGAACTTTCAAAGCTGAGGTGAAGATTGTTGATAATACCACCATCAGTGTTGATGGAAAGCACATCAAAGTCGTCTCCAGCAGAGACCCCCTCAAGCTTCCATGGGCTGAGATGGGAATCGACATTGTCATCGAGGTAATCTTCCAAAACCATCTTGTTTTGAAAAACTGTCTTAATCTGGATGGTGGTTCTGTTCATCATTCGATATGTATTCACAGGGAACAGGAGTGTTCGTCGATGGCCCTGGTGCAGGAAAGCACATTCAAGCTGGTGCCAAGAAGGTGATCATCACAGCTCCCGCCAAAGGTGCCGACATTCCAACCTATGTGGTTGGTGTTAATGAGCAGGATTACTCACACGAGGTTGCCGACATTGTAAGGTAGGTATCTTCAGTGTTGATCTTTGAATGGAACTTGGCAAATCAGTATGAACAAACTGACAATTCCACATTTGATGCTTTGGATGCAGCAATGCTTCCTGCACCACCAACTGTCTGGCCCCATTCGTCAAAGTCATAGACGAGGAATTCGGTAGGAGGGCTCCCATCTCAAATCACCATTCGAAACCACCTGGCGTTGAAGCTTGAGTTTCAAGTAACTGATCTTTTTGAGTTCTTTTGCAGGCATTGTCAAGGGAACAATGACAACTACTCACTCCTACACAGGAGACCAGGTACTTAATCCAATCACCCAATCATTCATAGCAAACAATCCCTAATACAAAGTTCACATGTCCTCAAGAGTTTTGGTTGCCCTCTGTGAATATGCAGAGGCTGTTGGATGCTTCCCACCGTGACCTGAGGAGAGCTAGGGCAGCAGCACTCAACATCGTCCCTACAAGCACCGGTGCAGCTAAAGCCGTGTCGTTAGTCCTGCCTCAACTCAAGGGGAAGCTCAACGGCATTGCTCTCCGAGTCCCCACGCCCAATGTCTCGGTGGTTGACCTAGTCGTCAACGTAGCGAAGAAAGGAATCTCAGCTGAGGATGTCAATGATGCCTTCAGGAAGGCCGCAGAAGGACCATTGAAGGGCATATTGGACGTCTGCGATCTTCCTCTCGTGTCTGTGGACTTTAGGTGCACCGATGTCTCATCGACCATCGACTCTTCTCTGACCATGGTGATGGGAGATGATATGGTGAAGGTGGTAGCCTGGTACGACAATGAATGGGGATACAGGTTAGTTAACCCAAAACCAAAATGAAACTAATAAAGGTCTTAGCTTTGTGAAGGAAAGTGAACCTAAAATTGAATTGTGGTTTTCTGTTGGATTGAAACAGCCAAAGGGTGGTTGATTTGGCACACTTAGTAGCCAACAAATGGCCAGGAGTTGCTGCTGGAGGAAGTGGAGACCCATTGGAGGACTTCTGCGAGACAAACCCTTCTGAGGAGGAATGCAAAGTTTATGAAGCTTAGATAGATGAATGAACATCTGGATTGGCTTTCTTCTTTTCAAATTTTTTTCACATTTTCGGGTTTCTTCCTTTCCCTTGTGAAGAGAGATTGGTGCAAGAGGATCATGTTTCTGTAAACGTGCAGATGAATGGTCCATGGTTGTGAAGAAAATAAGGCATTGTTGTTCACAGAAGCTTTTGAAAGTAAAGATCAAATTGCATGATTATTATGTTTGTGTTAGAAAATAAGCGTGCAATCGATAATCCAGATGAACACAAACAAACACGAATTTAACGTGGTTCACTAACACAATGTGTGTTAGCTAGCTAATCCACAGGCAGGGGAGAACAAATTTCACTAATTTGAGGAGAGTACAGGTTACAAACCAAATTCCAGAACGAACAAACCAATGAAACTAACATGACTGACCTTACTACAGACTAGGGTGATGAAGAGTATTTATAGAACTCTTCTTCTAATTCCAAACAGAAAACCAAACACCTTTTCCCAAACATACAACGAAAATGTCAAAACAAAGCCCAAACAAAATAAGTCCAAAACACAAAACAAAATCAAATCAAATTCAAGTCATATTCTAACAGTTTGTGCAAAGCAACGGCCAGAGAGTAACGAAAACCTGAGGCTAGGAATATAAAGATAAACAGACGCCGCAGCGAGGTGATCCCTTGAATGAGATGAACTCTAGTCAGTGGCCGACCCAAGAATTTTACATAGGCGTGTCCTCTTTCAAAAAATAAAGTAAAATAAAATTAAATAATTAATAATTAGTAAAAATGATATTATTCTTAAATAAGAAAATACCCAACTCGTACAAGCTAAAAAAGGATATATTTTCATATTCTACAATTTTTATAAAATACACTTGGTATCTACACTGCTAAACAAATTTGTCTCGGTATATCCTACTAGACAATCATTCACGAACTGACGCATATTTGACTTCTAAATTTGTTCATTATGTAACTCAAAGCTAAAAAAACACTTTCAACACTTGTCGTACAACCATAAAATCAATACAAATTAAGGGTAGCTTGTAATTAGATTAATTGTTAGGTCTTGAAAATAATAAAGATAGATAATAGAGCTTTGCTATTACACAGTGTTTAGAATATAAAAACAAAAAAGTTGTAGCCTAATGGATTGAATTTCTCAAACTATCACTTATATTTTATACGCAAACTACAAACGAGAGTAGTATAATCGTTCTTTCAAATTTTAAGGTGTTCTGGACTATTAATTATAATTTTTTTTATCTATATATAAATTACCACCGGGAATTGGATAATCAATCTTCCAAAATTTAGGGTGTCCCGAATGCTGCTAGTCCGCCCCCGGCTCCCGTGGGAATTGCTATTTGAAGCAAGGGAACAGCCGAACATGGTGAAAAGAGGGGTTAAATGCTAAGTTGGTCCATGGTTTATTGGTTTTACAAATATGTTTACTTTAGCCACTATAAATGTGTTTAGCCGTTTGTACTGACTTTACATGCTTGATGCTTGTTTCATCATTTAATTATTCACCGTTTATTTACATTAGAGGTTAATACGGTCAACTTTTCAATGACATACTAGATGAACAAGTTGAGTTGACAAATAAATTGATGAGCCACTATTCTTTTCTTTTATCTCTCTTCTAATATCAATTGATGTGTCGATTTTGTAAGAACCAAGTCTATTTTATTTTGAAAAAAATATTAATCTTGTTTTGTTAAAGTTTGAATGAATTTCGTTAAAGTTCGAATGACTTAATAATTTTTTGATCAATTCAATACCTCCACCTAAAACGTTATTAGAAAATTAACAATATTGACAGATCACCAAAATGTCTGGCGAATAACCAGTAAGAAAATAATAGTGTAAAATTAAAGGTTGATATTATGAAGATGTGTTAATGGTGAATGTGAAACACAATGGTGAATCTAAGGGAGGTCTCCATGGGTCACGACCCAACCCTCCTCAGGTACAGAGTTATTATAAAACTTATAATTTTTTTATTTTAGGTATTTGGTCTAGTGTTAGTTGGGTCTTGATCCAGTCTTCTCTATCTCTTTTTAAATGTGACACAGTGCTCTATTATGTTCTGGATCTGTCACTGGTCAAACATACATGTAAAACTAACTAGTGATGACAATGGGGTGGAGCGGGTACCTCAATACTCATACTCGTCTCGTACCAAGTGCGGGTCGGGTCAGGTAGGTTATGCACAGATACAGATGAGGCGGGTCGATCCATTCTTATATATTATTTTCAAAACGAATGTCGATATTTCACTCTCTTAAAAGAAGACACAGAGAAAATGCTTCATAAATGAATGATAACTATAATAGAAGGAATAATTGTGTCTAAATAGTTGAAGGATAGAGTTAAAATTTCTTTGGGATGAAAATATTATTTTAGAAAGGCCATAAGAGGGTAAATATAGGTAGATATTGTTGCAAATCATGATAGAACGGATTGAGAAATACACATGTCCCACCCCATACTACTGCGGGTCCGATAATATTTCTCCAAACGGATTGGAGCAGGTCGGGTCACACTACAGAATTGTCATGACTAAAGCTCAAGACTAAACGTGCAATTAATCTGATGAGAGAGAAGGGCAAAAAACAATGCGAAACACCTAACATAAAATCTTTGGCGGAAAAAAGGACAAGACAACAGAGGCGAACCCTACCAAAACGCAGAGCAGCAAGGAGAACATAAAGTAAAGAAACTTGTAGGGGTGGACAATGGCTGGTTGAGTGGATTTTGATCTCAAATTGAGTCATCCTCTTACTTGCGAGTTGGTATAATTTTGATCGGCTATCCACTCACATTCTTCTGCGAGTCGGGTTGAGTGGCTGGCAGATGAGTGCGATTGGGTCATAGGTTAACCTGTAAAAGTAATTCTCCAACGAGCCATTAAGAAAGTCGACTAACATTTATAAAATTTTCTAGCAAATTAGTAATAATATATCAATTTAGACACTTCCGACGTTGTCTCATGTGAATCCATGTAGTATTCGCATCAACATTTTCATTACTCTATCAACCAATTGTGTAGAAAAAAACTTATTCATTTTGCGATTTTGATACAATTAGTAGTTTATAGTTTGCATCCCAATATCTAATGGATATTAACCAATAATTTTGATCATAATATCCAATATCTAATGGATATTGTACAACATAATAACCAACAATAATATTAAGAAACTATTCTTTATTCTCCATCAAGTAGATGGTTAGTGTGTAGTGCGGTTCGGAAATATGATTAATATTCTTTTTCTTTTAAAAGGATGCAGAGCATCCTAGCCTTCATTCATAACCAAACGAGGCTCAGAAATCCCCTAGACATCATACATAATCCAGTAGATCAAAGTAGGGTCTGGAACAGGAAAAGAATGGAAACCTAACGACAAGTCATGGCCTTGATTCGCGAGGAAATCCGCACACTTATTACCCGCTCTATAGATATGGGAGAAAACAACCTCCCAGTCACACCTAATCAAAGCTTGGAAGCGATCAATGACAGCACTATGCCGGTGGTTTAGGTTCGCGTTGCTGATGATGAGGTGGACGACACATCTGGAGTCCAGTTCCACCTTGACGCGTCTATATCCCAGATCCCATGCTAGTTGAAGACCTTCCACAGCTCCTCTCAACTCTGCTCGGGTAATCGAATAGACTCCCAAGTTAATAGCGAATCTACGATGCAACGCCCAAGATGATCTCTCAGCAGGCCCCTAGCAGCAGCAGAGCCTGTCTCGTGGTAGACGGAGCCATAGGAGTTGAGAGTGACTCACTCGGAAGGAGGCGGCTTCCAAGAGATCAACTCCTCCATTCTAATGGGCGGACACTGATGGTGAACCATCCGATCCTTGTCCATGGCTTGCCTTACGATAGTTAACCACATCAGGACGCGCTGTAGAAACGCTTCAACTGTGATGACCTTGTTCGTGAAATTAAAACGCGAGCATTTCTGGTCCTCCACAAGGACCAACAGGTTAGGACAAAAGAAAGGCCAGTGTGCTCCTCCGCTATATGGTTCGCAATCCATTCCCACATTCAAACTAACCGGGAAAAATGCCAATCTCGCAACACATGCAGGACTGCCTCAGGTGAAGATCGGCAGGATGTGCACTCCGTCTGGTCCGTCAGGTGTCTCCTCCGCGCTCAGCATTGGTGAGTAGTCTCCCTCGAGCAGCAAGCCACGTGAAGTGTTGGACTCGGGCAGGTCCTCGCCATCTCCAAAGAATGCGCCATTCGAACTCCTGGTCAAGCTGCTGCGTGTTGGAGGCAAGGTTGTAGGAAGACCTCACGCGAAAGCGGTCGTCTGACTCCGGCCCCCAAGTCGCCACGTTTGTTCCCGAATCCTTAATAGGGGGTTGTATCCCTCGTACCTGCAAGACCATGCTCTTAGGTAGATATTCACGTAGGAGGGTGAAATCCCACTCACATGTATGCGTGACAAAGCTCGCCACTGAGGAAAGGGGCTCGATTGACGGTGCAGTCTCCAAGAGGTGGTCCACTAGCTTCTCACCGCTATCAACCCACCTGTCCATCCAGAAAGAAGTGGTATGCTCGTCTTTAATGCTCATGGACATGTCTGCCACCATGATAGGCCACGCCTTGCGGATGCCCCGCCATAGAGTGGAAGACCAAGATGTGGATTTCGTCACCAACTGTCCACCTAAGATTTTGAAGTACTTTGCCTGAAGGATCTGCACCCATATCTCCTTTGGGGTTTTCGTAAAAAACCAAGCAAGTTTAGCCAGGTATGCAAGATTCAATTCATAAGCTTTCCTAAGATCCAAACGTCCCTCCCTTTTCGGACGACAAACAGCTTTCCAATGCACCAAATGTATCTTCCTCCTCTCCTCCGAAGCTCCCCAAATGAACCGTCGTAATCTTTTGTCTATCTCATCACAAATGGAGATGGAAAGTAGTGTAGTCTGCATCGCATATGATGGGAGAGTGCTGAGGACCGAAATGGATAGCGTCACCCGACCTGCAAAAGACAAAATTTTCTCCTTCCACCATGCCAGCTTATTATCCATCCCGGTGAGGATGTACCTGTATGTCTCTTTCATGACTCGTTCGTGCAAGACCAGGACGTCGAGATAGTGCCCCAAGTCCTACTTTTCTGGGATTCCCATCTGCCAAGACACCTCTAAGCTCACGGTGCGTGGCGTCTTTTTAGATAACAACATCACTGACTTCTCTTTGCTAACCAGCTATCATGAAGTCTGGTAGAAACGATCTAGGCACTCCATAATCACCTCGCCCTATTGCTCAGTTGCTTCTGCAAAGAGGATTAGGTCGTCAGCAAAAAATAGGCGAGAGAGTGAGGGGGAACCTGGAGCAATCACAAATGGTTTCCAACGTTTTGAGGCCACTGCAGCCTGGATGGTATGGCTCAGCCTCTCCGTGCACAAGATGAATATGTATGGCAATAACGTGCATCCTTGTCTCAAACTCCTGGTCGGCTAAAACTCCTCCGTACACGTACCATTCCATAAGACTTGCATGGTCGGGTGGAGATACAACCCATAATCACCTTAATTAGTTTGCTTGGGAATCTTGCCAACGATAGTGTCTCTTGCACAAACCGCCAACTAACTCGATCGTAGGCTTTTTCTAGGTCGATCTTGATCGCCATTGCTCCCCGCTTGCCCTTCATTAGATTCATGGAGTGGACAACCTCTTGAAGGATGATTATGTTACCCAAGATCTGCCTCCTTGGGACAAAGCTAGTCTGGGTAGGATGGACTAGGGTTCACATCCAATGTTTGATCCCGTGAATAAGACATTTGGGTCAGAATTGTTGAATGGTCTCTGGGCTCTCTTTCTTTGGTATCAACACCAAAGATGTCTCGTTAACTCCTGCAATAAGTTGAGGGTTAGCGAAAAGGCCTACAACAAATGTCGACACCGAATCAACCACCACTTTCGAGCATTTTTTATAGAAAATCAGCGAATAACCGTCTTTCCCGGGGGCTTTAAAGCCATCCATGCTCTTGATTTCCGCCCAGACTTCCTCTCGCTTGATGTCTCTCTAGAGAGTGTCCCTCGTGCCTGGGTCCAGTTGAGGGAAGTTGTTGGGACAGGAGGTGTCGTGCCTGGTTCAGCCGTGTACAATAGAACAAAAAACCCCTTGTCATCCTGCACAACTCATCCTCCTCAAAAACCCAATTGTCGGCCTCTGATCCTGTTGAAACTTTGGCGTTTGAGTGTGGACAGGTGATAGTACCGAGTATAACGATCACCTTCCGCCACCCATTGGGCTCTAGATTTTTGGAACCAGAGCATGTGCTCTTGCTAGAGAGTAGTCTTTAGTTCCTTCCTCGTAGCCACCTTGCGTTCATGGGAATCTTGAGTGCCACCTCTTTCATTCTCTTCCTCTAGTGCTCGAAGGCGACGAGTGAGGGTTCTCTTACGATGCAAGATATGGCCGAAAGTTACCATGTTCCAAATGCACAACTCCCTGGTAAGCACTTGCGAGGATTGGCAAAAGTCTTCCCCCCCCCCATTGGCAAGCATCCGAGAGTACCCGACCGAAATCATCATGGGCCAACCAGGCGGCCAAGAAATGGAAGGGTTTCATACCCGAGTTCCTCATGCTATCCGGGTCACCTACTGGAAGAATATGCCTGTGATCCGAATCTACTCTCTCCAGATGTCTAGTGATCGTCCCAGGGAAGCGAAACATCCATTGTTGGTTGCAAAGAGCCCTATCAAGTCGTTGTTGGGGGGTGCCCCTACGCCACATAAATCTTGGCCCCGAGAAATTGATATCGAGCAACCCATTTTCGTCCACACATCGCCTTAAGGGTCCGATACGTGCGTCTTGGTACAGGTCACCTCCACACCGGTCAAGCGGCCCTAGTATGGAGTTGAAATCACCGACAAGGGCCGAGGGTAGCTTCGTCCGGGAGGAGAGCCTCTGAATCTCATCCCAAAGGTGTTTTCGTAAAGTGGCATTGGGACTGCCATATATAGCAGAGACAGTAGCCGTACCACCCCCGTCACGCTTTACACTCACAACATGAATCATATGCTCCCATTTTGTTACCGCTGTCACTTGAAGGGTTTGCATGTGCCATAGCACCCAGATGCCTCCTAAAAACCCATTAGCATCCAATATTAAATTTTCATCATAACCCGTCATGCGGATTACATTTCTTAGTGTCTCCCCACTTATATGTTTCTCAACAATGATCACAAGGTTCGGCCTCGTCGAGGCAAAAAAATCCATCAAATAAACTAGAAATTCCTCACTACCTGCCCCTTGGCAGTTCCATGCGAGAATATCTAACATAACAAAAGAAAAAAAAAACAAACACAAGAATATGCAAGGAAGAGACTTCCCTGAAGAAGGGTCGGGGCCCAATTAGATCGATGTACCACTAGCGAGAGGTTTCCCGTCATGTTTCACTTTCTTAGGAGCTAGCGAAGCATTGCAGCGGATCTTTCCTTCCATTGCAGGAGCAATCAGCGAGACCTGCGACTATTCAGTGGGAATAACGTCCTCGCGTTTGTACTAAATCGTAGGGAGATGAGGTTTGGTTTTACCACTTGGCAAGCTCGCACCCTTACCTCCCGCAACAACATTCTTCGTAGCAGAATCCACCCTAGGCCACCTGGCTTCAACTGTTTAATGTGCACATCCACAAGGCCCTGGTCCATTCTTGTTTTTTCTCGGCCTTCCGGACCCTTCCTTTTATCCACCTCGGCCTAGGAGTGACAGCCTGGGGCTCCGCTGAGTTCCTCATAATCACTAGGATCACGACAAGTTAGATAGGCTTCGCCGACCCTGTGGAAGATATCCCCGTGGAGTTAGTCACTCCAATAGGGGCGCCATCTCTTCCACTTTGAGTGTCGTGAAATGAGAGCCTGTAGGGTCCACCTTCGTTGCCGCGGGGAACCAGAATTATTCTGGGCGCCTCTTTGGTTTGATCTTGTCCCAGACTGCCTCTGCTTGAGTTTGACCATCATTTGTTCCCCAACATTCTTCGATGGGGGAACCGCAGTCGGGGAAGGAGGTGTTGGTTCTACCGGTGTCTCGGGGACCAGCTTGCATAGTGTTGGGCACGAGGCCTTCGAATGACCATACATTCCACACTCAGTACAAATTTTATGCAATCCTTCATACTCCACGTGGTAAGTCTTTCCCTCAATCTTGTATTGGCCTACAAGGGGTTTGGTGAGTTCAACCTCCACGCAAGCACGACAAAACTTTGTTCGAGCACCTAATACTATTGCTCTATCCACACGAACTGGCCTACCAATACAGGACACAATTCTTTCCACCGCTTCCTAGTTAATAAATTCCACTGGCAGCTCGGGAAACCTTGCCCATACACCGGTGGTGGCGACTTCAGGCGATCGGGCATCAAATCCCTTCCGCCAAGCTCGTACTATGATATAATGGTTGCCAATCAACCACAAACCTCCCATTGCTGCCTGTTCATAATCCATCTGGTGCGTATAACGAACCACGTAAAAACCATACGACAAGCTGGCGATTTTCAAGGTTCTGTCTTTGGCCCATAGGGTTTCCAACCGTCGCGAGATGAATGGGAATGAAAACGTGCCCCAAGACTTTCACAATGAGCACCGAACGCCATTGACGATGATACTACTGCTTTTCCATGGTCTTGAACGGTATCGTCGGGAAACGGGGGTTACCATCTTCGGGGATTTCATCATCAAGGTCATCCTCTCTCATGCCTGTCGCTACATCCTCCAAGTCGGACTCAGCCACGTACCACTCCTCGTCCTGAAGCATAGTTGAAAAGAGCTTTTGGCTCCCAGTCCCCAGGCTGTCTGTCGGGGGGGGGGGGGGGGTATCACTCGGATTACCAGGGTTCCTCATCGTTTCTCCCTCAGTGTAGCCTTCTTCCTCCTGCGCTTGGTCCTCGACCATCGTTTGCGCCTCATTAGCGCACATAGGTTTAGCTTTCTTCTTTGGATGTTGAGCATCTCTTTCTCCTTTATTGTTCCGGGATGACATCACGGAGGGCGCCCGTCGTTGCCCAACACTTGGATCAGGTGGCTTGGAGACTTTAACTGTAACTTCCAGCGCCAACGACGAATAGGGTTTCCGTAGTCTGCCTCTCGCACTCGCACCCCTTCCCGAAAAAATGAGCTTTTTTATTTAAAACTTCTCGATTTTTTCCAGTACAATATGATGGATATTCGATAGTATAAGAACGTCATTCTTTAATGTGAAAATATGGTGCAATTCATTCGGGTGACCCGCAATCCACCCACCACCCACTCAACCACATAAGTGCAGATAGGAGATTTATCAATCTTTAATCCATCCACATCAATCATCCACTACTTACGATTGAGGTTATTTGAGGGTGGATCAATATCAATCCGCGGATTGACCACCCACATGCCCACCGCTTGAAACTTGGGTGATCCACAGATCGAAACGCAGAGCCCAAGCAAAAAGCTAAATTACCACCACATAAACGAATCATTACGGATCCTCAAAGGCTCAAAGCCTCAAACCAAAAGCATAGTCCATGAAACCGTACCGAAGACCGTACCGAAAAATTCAGCGGTAGGGTAGTTTATAGTAAAATCGTAGTTTAACCGTAGTACCGTTAAATATCGTCTACCAGTTTAGCCTCTAATACAGGGATTTTGTGGTTGAACCGCTGGTACGATTTCATGGACCATGATTAGGGATGACAATTTTGACCTGACCTGTTTTACCCGACCTGTTTGGCCTGTTTTGGGACGGGTCCGACTCGCTACATAGGCGGGGCGGGGCGAGCATGGGTACCTCTCGTCGACCCGACCTGCCTTGACCCGCCCCATTCTCAACCCGTTCTTGCCTAAACTACATGTTATCTTAGTCAAATTACTTATAATTTTCCTCATATTACCTCATATTTTAGCTATAATACAATTGCAAGTAAGTGAAAATCTCAATTTCTCCAATACTTTAACTACATTTTATCATGTTATGGTTTATTTCTTGGTATTTTAATGAAAATAATGAATATTTTTAAAGTTTTTCACATTAATTACATACTCATTGGGTCGACCTGCCCCGACCCACGCCCCATGATAAATTACCCGACCTGCCACGGAACGAATATGACCATATGGATATGGAGATACCCGGGCCGGACCTGCCCATTGCCATTCCTAACCATGACCTAAAGGCATGAGCATGATATATTTCGATAAAATCGCTTTATTCGTGTGATATATTGGGGGTGGCGCGATATTTTCAGTGAACGCCGTCGCCGCCGGGATTGGAGATTGGAATAGCAGAAAACTGCATACAAAATTTAGAGAAAATATACAAATAACATGGAAAATCCCACCTACATTTTTTATATCACGATGGCGTTAATGGATCAAAACTTCCGCCAGAATCATTTCGGAGAACCCTGTGGAACCGCAACTCCTCCATCCCTTCACTTCCAGCCGAAGAAAAATCCCTAATTCCGCAGACCCTCAACAGCCTACTACCTCACCCAATTGAAAGATTAACTCGGCGGAGCACTGCATGTCTCAGAATGAGACGATGTCTTATACTTCGTATGTTTTTTATGGTGATACTGTCACCATTGGTACGCTGCATCTCCAGCTCAGCCGTGCCTCAGACGTTTCTCTCCGATCAGAGCAGCCTTGACTCCAGCCCTTTCAAATCCCTTCTGCCCCCGATCCCGTAAGTGCTTCCAAGTCTTAACCCCTTTGCAAAGGTCTGATCTTTGTGAGTGTCTGGCGACTACGGGTCAATTTGGGATAGAGTTTGGAGTGACCTTATTCTAGCTCGATCCGTTTCTTCTGGGTCTTTGTTTCTTTATCAGTTGAGTTTGTTGAATAGACAAGGGATCTCAATCCCCAATTGGCTGGTCATTTCGGTGCTTTATTATTTACTGTATTAATTTCTCCCGTCATTGCTTGCTTGTGGTTGGATTCAGCAAGCGTGAAGTTGCCGTGGTGGCTGCTTTGGATGGCACTATTTACTTGGTGGATGCTAGTTCAGGGAAGATTCGCTGGTCTTTCCCTACTGGGTCGCCTATATATTCTTCTTATCAGGCTACACTTGATACGGACGATGATGGGCTTAACGCTTCTGAATTGAGCAACGACTTATATTATGTCGACTGTGGGGATGATTGGGACCTCTATCTGCATAGCAAGCACCTGGGTAAACTGGTAGACTATACCCTCCATCTGCCAACTTAAATTGATCTTATCAAATTTTGTATCTTTATGGAAAAATGCAGTAACTTGTTGCTTTAATGTCCATCAGAAATGAGAAAACTCAATCGGTACACTGTTTTGCAGCAAAAACTGTCTCTAAGTGCTGATGAGTACATCAGGAGGACACCACACATATCAGAGGACGGTGAGATTACATTGGGTTATAAAAAGACTACTGCATTTCTTGTTGATGCCAAGACTGGAAAGGTAGTTCGCTCTTTTGCACTGGATAGCCCTTCACCTAATAGGGATGGTGCGGAAGAAAATGCCCTTCGTTTGATAAATGGCCCGGAAAAGTTGGTTGAAGCAGGTGTTGCTGACTTGGGAACTCTTGAGAATCTGGTTTACATCACAAGGACAGATTATGTGTTGCAGCACTACTTGCCAAACTCCAGTAAAGTCCTCTGGAATGTGGCTTTTGCAGAGATTGAGGCTGAATTTCGATGTCAGGATGGTCGGAGTTTCTTCGATGGGATTTCTCCTGATGCAGATGTGGGAAGAAATGAAATTGAATGGCAATTTCCTTGTCAAGTGAAGACGGCTGCTGTGCGCATTCGGGATCAAAACTTGCTGCCATTTGAGAAACTAGCAATTAGTTATCCCGGACTTGGACGCAGAGCTCAGTTCTTACCTGCCAAGGATCAGCTTCCCGCTTTAGAGCCTGTTTACAGACTTCCAGCTGCTCTTCCCACCAATGCAGGCAGATCCACTCTTGCTTTGCCTTCATCGGATATCTTGAGTGAGAATGCTCTTGTACCAAAGAGTACCAGTTGGCCTTCTGAAATTGCAGCCAAGTCTCAAATGTGGTCCAGCATAGTCACTATTGTCTCCGTTCTTAGTATCATCATCTACAATTATATTGCGGGTAGGAAACGGAGCAAACTGAGTAAACCAGTAGAACCTAAAATGCAAACTGGAATGCATAAGAAAAAGAAGAATAAGAGAACAGGAACAGGAAATAACAAGAACCATTCCTCAAAGACAAATGTGTCTCTGGAAGGTAAGGTTGGAGGCCCTGATGAAACCGAGGATTGTGAAGGGAATAATAGAAAGATACCACAAAGTCTTATGGATCTTATTGATGGTCATGTAGACGGACGTAGAATTGGTAGGTTATTAGTTTCAAGCAAAGAAATTGCTAAGGGTAGTAATGGAACGGTGGTGCTTGAGGGGGTGTATGATGGCCGTCCTGTAGCTGTTAAACGCCTTGTGCAGACCCATCATGATGTTGCTATCAAAGAGATTCAGAATCTTATCGCCTCTGATCAGCATCCCAATATTGTTAGATGGTACGGCGTGGAGCATGATCAAGATTTCATTTATCTTGCTCTGGAGCGTTGCAGTTGCAGCTTGAGTGACTTTATTTATGTTCATTCTGGTATATTTCAAAACCAAATGAACTGTGAGGGACAACAACCTGGCAGTTTGCCTGAATCTACTGTCAGGGTTTGTACAATCCTGCAGCAGAATAAGAACATTGAGTTGTGGAAATCAAAGGGTTACCCTTCTCCCCTTCTGTTAAAACTGATGAGGTCAGTGGTTTTGTTTCCTCTCTACTTGGTTTCCTTGCTGCTTGTTTCTCTTGGGTTTGCGAATATTGAGTGTGATCAGTGGAGATGAAATTGCCATTTCCTTAAGTTTATTATGGCAACTCTAAGTTTCTTTCTATGTTCAACTTTGCACTATAGTCATATCCCTGAATCACTGGGCTATCTCAATATGACATGTGACAAACTGGGCATGTCTTGATTAAAAAATGTTTGAATATGCAGAGACATTGTTTCTGGCCTGGCCCATCTGCATGAACTTGGGATAATTCATCGGGACTTGAAGCCTCAGAATGTCTTGATAATCAGCGAGAAATCATACTGTGCTAAACTTTCAGATATGGGTATTAGCAAGCGCCTTCTTGGAGGCATGTCTTCCTTAACTCAACATGCAACTGGTAAGTATGGCCCTGGTATACCGTATATGATAGTTCATCCTATTTTACAAAGGGATGGAGAGGAACTTTTAAGATTGGCGTCGAAATCTTTATCTGAAGTGAAGTGATTGCTACTGTTGCAGGCTATGGAAGTTCAGGCTGGCAAGCTCCTGAACAACTTCTCCAAGGGCGGCAAACACGTGCAGTAGATTTATTTAGTTTAGGCTGTGTTTTATTCTTCTGCATTACAGGGGGCAAGCACCCGTTCGGGGACAGCATTGAACGAGATGTAAATATTGTGAATGATAGGAAAGACTTATTCCTGATAGAGAACATACCAGAAGCCGTTGATCTATTCACTTCCCTCCTGGATCCCAACCCAGATAAGAGGTAAACCACATTTCCTTGTAAATCTGGTCCTCATTTTTTTCTTTATTTTCGATCCAGTTCTATGCCGATTCGGTCCAATTTTTGGCCACACAAGACCGTCCTCGCTCCCTATTTTTGGCCATATAATTTGACTTCCTTCGATCTTTGCAGACCAAAGGTCGAAGAAGTTGTGGTTCATCCCTTGTTTTGGCCACCAGAGAAGAGACTCACATTCCTTCAGGACGTGAGCGATCGTGTTGAACTGGAAGACCGAGAAACCGAGTCAGACCTTCTTACTGTATTAGAGAGCATCGGAATTACAGCATTAAATGGCAAGTGGGACGAGAAGATGGAAGCCACATTCCTGAACAATATCGGCCGTTACAGACGGTACAAGTTTGACAGTGTCAGAGACTTGCTCCGTGTCATACGTAACAAGTCCCATCACTACAGAGAGCTTCCTAAGGAGATCCAGGAGCTGCTTGGGTCACACCCTGAAGGTTTCGAGAGCTACTTCTCTAATCGGTTCCCTAATCTCCTGATCGAGGTGTACAAAGTGATCTGCAGCCATTGCGCAGAGGACGACTTCTTCAGGAAGTACTTGCAGACAAATTTAATCTAACCTAACCAGTATAGCAGTTGTAGAAAAGGCTAATTGTAATGCATAGCAATATGGCATTGGCAATCTGTTGTACACAAGAACATGCGGGTGTTTACATGTGAAATAATAGTTCAGTTTTCAGTTTTAGAGCATGATCATCTGAATATATGAACAGAACATGTAGATAAGTTGATTATTGGTTTTAAGATGGGGACGACTAAAACTTCCACCCAAATTTGAATGGATGTAAGAAAGTGCATATGATATTACGGATTGAAGGTATGAATTTGTTACTATCCAATTATCTCTATGGGGTCGTTTGGATTAGGGAATCTGTGCAGGGATTCTACCACAATTTCTAGTCATTAGGGATTTTATCATAATCCTTCGTTTGGATAGGAATAAAAGAATTAGGTATTTTAGCAATAGGAATTTTGAAAACCCTGATGTTAAGAAATTTGAAATAGCTAATTACCCCCAAGTATTTCTAAATCCCTCATCTTATTTAATTTTTTCCCAATCTCTGCCCCTCTTATCCCAGTTCCTTCTTGCGATCCTTCCCTTCTTCCTTTATGTCCCTGTACGAGATCAAGCAAGCTCGCAAGGCTACGACGCTCATCTCGTCGGCTATTTCAACGGAGTTTGACTAGCTCCGATCTACAACAACAATGACGGCCTGATTTGGGGGATCTCCTCAAATTGATAGAGGGATTTTCCAGGTGGGCTGTTTCGGGTATTTCGTCATGGGCATCTCGCCAAAACTGCCGCAGACTCCAAGCTCCTGCCGAAGCCGACATCTATTTCTGGGTCCCATCGACGACGAAGAGAGGGGAAGGGAGGCAGATCTAGAGCTACCGGCGCAGCCACATCTCTCATCTCTGGTTCTTTGCGACGATGAGAGTCGAGAAAGAGGAGAGTGAGCGAACGTCTCCCAGATCTGATTCTCACCGGCGCCGCTCTACGTCTCTAGTTCTGATGCTCACCGGCGTCGCTCTCCGTCGAATGGGTTCAAGGTGTTCCTCTGCCGGATTGAGTGAGTTCACCAGCCTTAGCATAGTCGCCGGTCCTCCGCGAGTTCACTGGCAATTAATGAAGTCACGGCGGTCGCCAAATTATCAAGGTCGCCGGCGTTCGAGTCAATGTTTCGTTCAGCAAGAGATATCGGGAGAGGAGGAAGAAGATGGCCAATACTACGGTGCCGCACTAAAAAGTGCGGCACCGGTGACGCCGTTTTCTATTGGTCCATGTGGCGCTGACGTGGCATGGCCTGGTTTCATTATTTGGAGCCCATGACCCATACGAATTTGGAATTGTCCAAACCGAAAACGCTAGCCACAGACGGAAGTTCCAACAGCCGTTTAGTATTTCTTTTTTTTTTCAATAATTAATTTTAAATTGATTTAAGTTTTATATGCATTTAGTTTCATTGTGAAAAAAAACCCAAGTGTAAACGAACGGTGGCCGAGGAACGGTGGCCGTCTTCCTCGTTCTCTCGCTCGTTAGAATCGGAAAAGAGGCAACTGCTCTGCTGAGCTCCAACGTCGCCATCCAAACTTCACACCCTCCACCATATTCAGCAGCCGTATTCCTCGTCCATTAATCCAATTCGTTGGGTTCCCAAGATTGGAAAAAATCAACAGCAAGGGACGACGCCGAGGGCCGAACCAAAAGGGAATCCTCGATCTCCTTCGCCGGCGTGCTCGAAAAGCAGTTCGGTGACTTGTTCGTGGCCGATACCATCTCCAAAAATCACTTCGGTGACTCATTGAGAGGCGAAGAAGGCTGTATCTTCACAGGCCTCTGTCGCCATCGAAAATTTCCTACGCCAAATACCAGACCAGTCCAGGTCAGAGAAGGGGAGAGACGCCTCCTTCACCGGCGGTCGCTCCCAAATCATTCCGGCCATCGTGGTCGATCCCATCTCCAGGGTCAATCTTACGCGTCGATTGCGCCCAACCCCTGCATATTCAGTCTCTAGTTTGTATCAAAACATCCCTCACCCTTTCATCTGTCGGTCAGGACGAACCTTGCCACAAGAATTTGTTTGCAGCCTCGCCAAATTCAGTTAGATTCCTGCTCTTGTAAGGTAAGCTAAAAGTACTTTCTTGAAATATATATGGAGGCCTCGTAGAACATGATATGGATATTGGATTGAAGAATCTTTGTTTATTGGAAGTTACTAGTTAGTACCAACAAGACAAGATGAAATGTGGTGACTGAGGCATGGAAATAACAAAAAGCTTATTGTATGTGTGTGATTTTACTCTCCTGTGGATATGGAATATTAGTTGTGTTCAAGTGATCTAAGACAGGGAGTCGATTTTCAGATATGTCAATAGTTTGGTGTGAGACTACGTGTAGCCATAACTTGCTTTTGGCTATGATCCAAAGTTCCAATTTTCCATCTTGAGTGACCCTTTCCTCGTGCTCTTCCTTCTTATACAAGCCAAGCCTTGTGAAAACTACGTGACAATCTGATTATCGGGATTGAAATCTGTTGCTCCATCTTCTGGTATTACTTATTGCCAAGCCGAATTCCATATAGTTTGTTAGCTGGTCATTCTGAATTGTATGTTTCTCGATTTGGAGCACTAAATATCTTAGAGTTTGATCCACAACTAGTTCAAGGCACTGTGACCCTTGTTTCTAACTCCATGAATGAATTTCTTAATGCCACTGTAAAGTTGGAAATGAGAGCAATTTGGGTTTATTTCTTATTCGTTAATTGTTTTTAGTGTCTAGCAACTTAACCGTGCAATTTCTAAATGGACCTCTTAAAGACTAATCTACCTCTGCCACAAGAATTTCTTTGCAGGGTACCGATTTCTAAATATGTCAATGGTTTGGTGTATAGGAAACAAGATGAATATATATTGCATTTTGGCCTCCATTGTAGTAAAGTGAGACTGTGTTCCCTCATAGTCCCTTCGAATTCAGTTAATGTTTAATTAAATTAGTTAGGGATTTAGTTAAATTTGTTAGGTTCGTAATGACGTTTCATATAATAGTTTTGTAATCTTTGACAGGTGGTAAGGGTATTGTTTATCCTTGAAGGTTTGTTTCAAATAGAGAGGCTAGGCGATAAAGTGAACACAGTGCAACCTGAATGGAAGGTGTGCATCTCTACACATTGAGCTATCAGGATTACATTATTGTTATAAAGTGCATTAATAAGTGAATTTGGTATGCAGGATCAGAAGAACTCTCTTTAGCTCATGGAGATGATATTCAGAATGACATACTTACTGAGAATGCTGATACAGCTGCCCAAAGTCAAAGTACTGGTCATTCCCATGAAAATACGGGGATGTCGCTCTTGAACGTTAATGTTCCTGGAAACATAGAGGATTGGGGGTTTCATGATTTGAAGGAGGTAACATTTGATTCTGTTGATGAAGCTGAAAACTTTTACAACAATTACAGCAAGTATATGGGGTTTGGTGTCAGAAAAAGGGACAGAAAGGTTAACAAATATGGGAAATGGACATCACGAAAATGGGTTTGTTGTAAAGAAGGAGTCAGAACTGAAGAAAATGCGAATAGAGAAAATAGGAAGAGGGAAGCAAAGGCGGTGACTAGATTCGGATGTCTTGCTTCGTTCAAGGTGAAATTTGATAAAAAAGATGGGAAGTACAAGGTAGAGGAGTTTGTTTCCGAGCATAATCATGATAGAGTTGGACCTGAACACGTGCAGTTCTTAAGGTCTCATCGGTCACTGAAGGAGGGTGATAAGGCACAAGTAGAGTCACTGCGAGGGGTGGGTGTGAAACCGAGTCAGATAATGGATTTGAGGGTAAATGAAGTAGGTGGCTATGACAACGTCGGTTTTACTCTCAAGGATTTGTACAATTTCGTGGATGGAGGTAAGAATTTTGAAGTGCATAGTGATGCAGAGTCTGCATTAGCATACTTACGTGCCAAGTATGAAATTGATTCAGAACTCTTCTGCAAGTTCACACTCGATGAGGATAGCAGACTAAAACATTTGTTTTGGGCCGACTCCACCTGCCGGTTTGATTACTCTTGCTTTGGTGATGTGTTAGTTTTTGATTCAACTTATAAGACAAACGCATACAAGATGCCTCTTGTCGTATTTGTTGGGGTGAATCACCATCACGCAACTACAGTGTTTGGGTGTGCTTTGTTACCCAACGAAACTGTAGAGAGCTACAATTAGGTAATTAAAACTTTTCTCTTGTGTATGAAAGGTAAGCACCCAAGTGTTGTGATTACCGATGGGTGTATGTCAATGAAGAGGGCCATTAAGGAGTTGATCCCTGGTGCTGCTCAAGGATTTGTTGCTGGCACTTGAGAAGGAATGCAGAATCGAATGTTAGTCCAAAGGAGTTTCTGAAAGTATTTGACAGATTGTTAAAACGGATTGACTCGGTTGATGAATTTGAGGAGGTATGGAGGAAAGGTATGGAAGAGTTCCAGTTAGGCAGCAATGAATGGTTGTCTGAATTGTATGAGAAGCCACATAAATGGGCTCAAGCATTTTTCTCTGGCACGTTCACTGCTGGAATGAAGAGTTCACAACGCGTTGAAGGGATGAACTCTTATTTGAATCGTTTTTTGGATAGGAAATTGAAATTGTATGAGTTATTCGTACAAGTCGATAGAGGTCTACGAAGGTTGAGAAACAAGGAGGCAAAGGAGGATTTTGTGAGTGTTGATACCTTCCCTGTGTGTGATACACATCTTCGGAGTATTGAGGAACATTTTGGTAGAATTTATACTCGCAAAATGTTCTTTAAAGTGCGGAAGAGGATTAAGGAGGAGCCATTGCTATATTGTGTGTCGACTAGGGTGAATGGGAGAAGCACATTTATGAGGTGAGCAAATATTCGAACATTAATGCTTCTTGGATTGTGGTTTACTACCCAGCAGATAGGAGAATCGAGTGTTCTTGTCAGCTTCTCGAGAGCAAAGGCATTCCATGCAGTCATTGTTTTTTTGTGATGAAGATGAATAACATGTCAGTTGTTCCATCTTCTTTGGTGGTGAAACGATGGTGCAAGGATGCTAAGAAAGAGTGTCATGTGCAATCAGTCCACCCAGAGCTGCAAAATGAAGAGTTACATGCTATGGTGAGATCTGGTAATTTAAATGGAAGCTTTGGCAAGCTGTGTCGGTATGCATCAAAAACGGAGGAAGGATACAAGCTGGTGAAGCAGGAAATCGAAAGGTTGAGTGTGTTGGCCGAGGAAATTTGGCGAAAGAATGGCGGATTGGAACCCATGGAGAAAACAGCAGAAAGAACACCAAGTATTAGGATTAAAGATCCCCATGTTGTGAAAACAAAAGGACGTAAGAGTGAATCATCAACCCAGCCAACCAAACGACGTTGTAGTCATTGCACTAATGAAGGACATGATGTTCGCACATGTCCACAAAAAGATCATGAGAATACATGTATGGAACTATGTATATTTAGTCTCATTTTGTTACGATTGTTTCTACTTATGGAGTAAATCACACTATTTGTTGTTAATGTGCAGGAGCTCATGCGTCTACAAGTTGTGAAGATTACAGTTTCATATGGACAGCAAGTTAGTGAACTGTAGGTATGATCTTAGATATTATTTCAATGCTTGTTTATGTGTCCAACATAGTTAGGAAAGACCTGTGGTGCACCTATGCAACTATATAGCAGACCCCTTATGAATGGTAGGCAATTTTGGAATGATAGCTTTTGTTAGGTATAGGCAGTAGAGAGAGCAGCAGCAACAATGAATTTGATGGGAAGCCATTTGTTTGTTTGGAATGTGAAACTCTCAATTGTTCTCCTTCTAAAGTGTTTTCATACACAGATTCTATAAGTTAGGTGGATGGATACATGCTTGTTCAGTCCAATTCTTTACTTAATCTCTATTAAAATGCTCATGGGATGCATGTTTGTTGCCATTTTCTAGCATCTGATGCTTGCGTACATACAAAGCTCTTTAATCGGTTCCTGCTCCCATATTGTATGTTCAAGTTAGTAAGCTTTAATTGTGTTATTATATTGCAGGGAGGGCAGTCGGACGTGGCTGATGAAGGGGGTGTGGAAGAGGACGTACACGTTGTTGTTAAATCGTCTATGATATGATTGTGCATCACGTGTTTCGGGATCAGTTAGGGACTTGAGAGAAGTGAGAACTCTTTGTTTGTTTTAATTAGCACTTGGAGAATCTGGATTCGAAGTTGATACTGTGTTTAGGTCTGATGTGCGTTATGTCATGAGAATGAGATGCAGTTTGTTTATATGATTGGCGGTTGCGGGACATATATGTTTTACAGGGACATGGGAATAAAGCTCTCAGCTTGTTGGACAGAGACATGGGAATAAGGATCTTTCTTTTCTCTTGCTGGAACTTCACTCCCTAAGGCACTAACATCATGTTCCTACTGAGGAATAGTATCTATAGCCAACATATCGTCCGAAAGTTGGCTATGTAGGGAAGTCGAATATATATGGGTATAACTTAGGATACACATATGTTTTACAGGGTGGTTACATGATGCTCGAAATGTCAATGGTGATACCCCATATTGTCATAGGACCCTCTACCAGAATAAAGGTAAAAGATCGATGTAACGAAACGAAGATACGCAGCAGCTCGATGCCTTGTGGATCGAATCGTTGTGCAGCCCTGGTTAAGCAGCCAAAATGGAAAACAAGCAAAGAGAGCAAGCAAGAGAGTTCTGGTTATATTTCAACATGATCAGAGCCTGCAGGAGAGAGTGATCACTCACACCTACTGTCAATTATTGATACAATGGAATGCAGTAGGCAGGAGGGCTATAGCTAAAATGACACACATAAGGAGTAGTTACCAATAAGGTTTGGGCTCCGAATAAGAATGTCATAGGTACAATTACTGGGGGAGGAGGCAAGCTCAGTATAAAATCTGGAGTCAGGGCAGAATAAGGATCTTTCTTTTCTCTTGCTGGAGCTCATGTATAAGTTACATAATCTTCACTATCTGTTATCTAACAACCTCCTCATCTTTGCTCCAGCTACTAAATGTATACGAACCGAAATACGAAACTAATGGAAGGTTTTGGCCAATAGTACATGGTTCCACAATCTTCTCCTTGATTCTTATGCATGTTATTGCCATTGGAATATTTGGGCTGAAGAAGCTGCCTTTAGCATCTACTTTAACTGTGCCACTCCCCATTCTCACACTTCTCTTCAATGAGTACTGCCGCAGACGCTTCGTACCCCTATTTATCGAACCTGATGGAAAGCTGAACCTGATAGTACATTTGCAAACAAGATGTTCCATATTGTAAACCACAAAACCTTGGTACATGCGCTTGTTTCCGTGCTGCTAGATGAAAGGTATCCCTCCATAGAGGACAACATTAACATAACAGGTGGCACCAGATACAGGAACAGCTGCAGAATGAGACTTGGTAAATATCCAGTAACGATTTGGCTGACAATGGTCCTGGAAGTCAAATGGCACTGCACATCAGTACCCAATAAAGTACGCTTATATAGATGAACTACTTTTTAAGAACACATGCTAAGAACTCGAAGCGATACAAATAAGTGTCTGCCTCAGTCGTAAGGCTTGATGTATCATATCATCATGAGCTAAGTGAACACGGTCTTATATATTCATTGGGCAACTCATAGTAAAGCATATTCAAATCTAGACAGTGATGCCTCTCTCTCGCTCTCTTGATAGGAAAAAGTTAAGCTGACTTGAAATTAGAGAACAGGATGGTGTTTACTTGCAAACATCAGACTACCTGGCGTGAATAGTGTTCAGCATCCCTTTTCATGGCTGCCATTTCAACTCTCAGTTTCTGCAATTCAGCCTGTAATCGGGAAAAGGGTTGGTATCTATAAACAAATGCTTAACTTTGACTTGTAAATCTTAAACAAATTAGAAATGAAAGGAATGATCCAGTTTCACACTTCAATAGCACTTGCACTATAAATTCTATAAATGCAAGATTTATTCTTTCCAAGGACCAGTAAGGCAGTAACACATATATCTTCTAAGTTCTAACACTAGATGGTGCAGAGAATCTTGAATTGAAAGTTTTATTTCTTCTTTCTACCTGAATGATTTCACAGCGTCTTTGAGCTCAGGATTCTCGATTATGTTTCTAGCACTTAATGGAACCTCTGCATAGGGCACATGGTGGTAAGATCAGGAATGAATAAGAGAAAAAAAATTAAGGAAACTTTAGTATATAAAAAGGAACACTTGAGAAGAGGAAATAGAATGCAAACACAGATAGTAAAAGTCAACAACTCAGAAAAGATCATTACACCGTAGGTATTCAAATGCTTTGCTGCAAAAAAAAATCCTATGCAACTTACAATTGCACTGTAGCCAAGTAAGGTAGTTCGAAGGATCCTATCATAATAAACAGTCTATTGATCAGCAGTCTAAAAGTGGAAAATCTTAAGTCTTTTGTTGATTGTGGAAGTACACCTTCAGGAGATAACTTTAAAGCAGAAATCTTATATTTTCAGGCCTTCCTCTGTTAGAAACCAAACTTTCATTACAAATTCATGTACTTATACAAATCATTCATTCAATGTGATCCGAAATTGTGAACAGCTTTCTTAAAGCAAAACAAGAATGATATTTGGTTGCGAAGAAAAGTACGTTCCACAGAACAGTCCCATCATCTCATGTATCCATTTGAGAGCACTAAAACGGCAACCTCAAATTCTCAACAATCAAACAAATACTAATAAACATTTAGAATCTAACCTGGAGATTTCAAGATATACTTTAACATTATTCAACAGAGAGAAATTCAGGTTTACTAAGAACAAGTTACTTACCATAAAGTCTCAGTACTCTTATGGCCAATGCACTGAATCCACATTGAGGATAGTCAGGCACACCTTTCATGTATACCATGACAGGATTGTCCCTCACATCCTACATGGAAAGTCGATAATAAGATGTTTCCAGTTTTCTAGTGCTGTTAGGCTTTCCAGTTTCAGTAGGCTTAGATATCACACTCCCAAAAAGATGACAATTTCATTCTCACAAGAGAAGGGGGAGTTGTTTATTTACCTGTCCATCAACAAGGAATATAATGGCAGAGGATTCCTCCACAGCAGCAGTTGTTTGTTTCTCGGTCATTGAGGGCATCCTGGCAACCGCAGCTTCCCTAGAGGCAAGCGGAATTCCTTCCATGCCAATGGTCGTCGTGATAGCAAGTTCATCCATAACCTCATTTTTTGATATTGACACAGTGATTACTCCTCCGGTATCCACCACCATGAACTCATGATCACCCCAAAAGGATCTTCCGTAGAGACGATGCCGAGTAACTCCAGGTTCATCCACCACAATAGCCTTGTTCTCCTTCAATCAAGAAAGTAACAAAAATCTTTGGATTCAGGAAATGAAAACTAGCATCGACTTGCTAATGGCAAAGTTTGAACCTGTTTTTTTCAATTTACCCCAACAAGGCGGTTAAACAATGCTGATTTCCAAACATTCGGTCTCCCAACAATGGCTACCTTGGAGAGAAGATGATCTGGAATCTGCAGGTTAATGTATTGATGAATTCAAGAATTCATACTATAAATCTACAACCTCTACGACGCCCAATGATCCGAACTTTTCAATAGAACACAATTGAAGTATCAAAACCCAGCAAGCTGGAAGTGAGAAAAAGGCCAAAATGAAGAACTGAACCTCTTTAACTGTGAGCTTCTTCCTCCTCCTCTGCTTCCTAGATTCCTTTCTGGTAACAGCCTCATCGTCTGCAAACAAAAATCAGCGAAAGAACAATGAGCAAACTTCATAATATTTCCCAAAACCTGAATCAGAAACCCACGAAAGAACTCACCGATTATCAATTCATGGGATAAGGACGACGAGTACTCCCTAACTGCAACTTTAGCTTCCTGTTCGAACTCATCCACGTCAAACTCATAATCCTCTCCATCAGACTCATCAAATTCTAGGTCCACCTCAGTGTCTGCTTCAGCTATTTCTTCTTGGTCATCATCTAGGGAGGATTTGCACGAAATTAACCCGGGAAGCGGAGATGAAGAGTGAAGGAGTTGCAGGGGAAAGTACGAAGCTTTGGCATGGGAAACGAAGGGAATCGAAAGCTTTCAAAGGGAAGGAAACGACGCAGAAACGACGAAGTAGACTTCTGTAATGCAATTGGGGTAGCGGGGGTGGTTTTGGGGAGTCTTCGCCGTCCTCGCCGTTCGCCCTAGGAGTCTTGGCCGTCGTCGCCGCAACTGCCTTCCGATGCACCGCTCGACCTAGTGATTCCTCGCGGCGGCTGGGAGTGTTGCTCGGTCCGCCTCGTCGACGCTGCCATCGCACTAATCCCTCTTTCAAGGAGGCAGCGGGGATTCGACTTCCCCTGGGGGTAGATGCTCCGCCCCAATCTCCACTGGTGAAATTCTCTCTTCGGTTCACGAAGTTGCAGAGACGACGAGAGGCTCTTTTCTATCTTCTGTGTCCTTAATCGGCGCGGCGGAAGGCATGGCGGCGGCGACGGGACGGACCGAGCGGTTCCTTCTTCCTCCTCACCATCACTCGCCATCAGCAGAGACGAGTGAACCCTGTCGGCGCACCGAGCAAGCATGGCGGCGGGATTCTGATCTGCATCCTCGATTGGCCTTCCGAGCAAGCATGGCGACGGGGCGAGATTCTAATCTGTCTTCTGCGTCCTTGATCGAAGAATGGATTTTGCCGGTGTGGTTGGGGCGTTCCATTGTAAAACTAGGGATTAGGTCGATTAGCTGATTACTTGGCATAGCAAAATTAAGGCGCCACAATGTTGGAGCCAAAACATTGGTCTCACAATACAAATTTTAAACAAATTATGAATGCCAAATGATAAATACCCCCAATTATGAAAAGGAAAATCAAAATTTCCAATCAAATTATTAATCTATCCATAATAAAAACAAAACCAGATTTGTTCATCTCAAAGTGTTCAAAATAAGCCAACACACAATCCATCATTGTAAACCGAAATCAACTCATCGAAGACAAAAGAGATTAATGAAAAGGCAACATAAGAGGAGTACTGATTAGCAACACTTCACTTTTTTCCTTTGCGTCCTTTCGAAGCCCTTGCTTTGCCCTTGGTTTGTGCAACCTTTTTAGTCGCGTCATATTTTTTGGCCTCCTCCTCGATCTCGTCCTTCTGGTTGTTGAACTCCCACTTCACCAATTCAAGTGCTAAATTCAGTCGTTCTTCTTCACTGTGGAACTATAAGTTCAAATAGTCAATTAGATTGCACAACAAAATTCTGTAACGATGATATACTGACGGGTTTCTTAAATGATAGCTACCTCTTTTCTCATATCTCTTGCCGCCTTGTCTAGCGATGTTGCAGCTTTCATCAACTTCACAACAAACATACCAGCATCATCGCTGTCCAATGAAAAATGGCATTATAGATTGTAGTTATTATCACTATCATTGTGTCGTGAAACCGACTCATTATACGAAGCACACGATGGTAACTCACTCATTGGATTGTTGAGGGGCCTCCACTACAAAATGAATGGGAAAGCGTTGAAATGGGTGGTCATCATCAAGAATACCACTAAATTCCTTACCAAATAGAACGTCCAACATTGTTACCTGTAATTGTAAAAAAAACGTGTGTTAAAAGATTTAGGTTGGTATTTCTGCGAAGACTAAGTAATAAGCAATGTGAACGAGAAGCGACAACTCACAATTTGTTTTGCTTTAGCCTCCAGCTCGGGGGTATTTGTATGTTTTTGGTATTAATCCCAAATTGCAACTTCACGATTTTTTATATCAACGACCATAAGGGCAAAGTGAAGGGCCAAGTAGATTGGTACGAAAATCTGAGAAGAACAAAAATTAAAAGTAAGGTAAAATAACTAGTTTGCACATGGTTTGAAGGGACTTTCATAAAACACAAAAATCAACATTCAAATGAGACCATACCCGCTCAGAGTCTCTGATCCTTGAACAATATTTCGATACCAGCTTTTGCGAAGTCATATACTTGTAAAACTCGGTTTGGGTGTCTCCAGACTTCAACTACAACAAATAAGCACATTAATACATAGAGTATTATGAAATCAATAGAAGCAAGTCCATGTATACGAATGGGGCTTGTGGATTACCCCAACTATAGTTGGTAGGAATGTGGTTGTAGGACCAGCCTTTTTAGACTCCTCCATAGTAAGCTTTCCCACAACTCCATTAATGACCTTTTACAACATTTTGAAACACAACGTAAAGTTTAAATATGGAACGTGTACTTAATTCGTAGCAACATATATCAAACTTTGTTAAACTAAACCATTATGCAATACTTACCCCTAACTCGATCTTTTGGTTGGGAGCTAAGGACCTTAGGTCAACACATATAATATACACGTTGGTACTAGATACCACAACATCACTATAACAAACAAATGTTAGTGTATGTGAAAACAAAGAATTAAACAATGATAGTAGAAACAGAGTTAGGTATAGATTTTAACCAGTCATTCATGTCAGCTTCGAACAGATACTTGATCAGCGAAAGGTCTTCAATTGAGGCAGGACGACCCACTTTGAACGGACCAACCAAAAAAACTTTCCTTGTTTTTTCATTTGCATATGGAGATTTTACCCACTTGCTTGGTTTGCGCTCCGCATCAGCACGCAACTCTCGAGCTGATGAGTACACATCATTAAGATTAAATTCTCTACCTCCCTCTTGTATCTGTCAAATAATACTACATCAATTTATAGTGTCCACGAACCCATTATTTGTCTAACTATCAGATTACTAAACGTAAACGCATATATATCAAACCGAAACAAAAAAAGTCAACCTACCTCCACTGACGGACTCTCCTTACCAACTGATTCCATAGACATAACATGTTCTGCATCCAGACGAAGACTTCTGCTATGTGTTTTCATGAATGTTAACAAATCTTCTTGCAGGTCCTTTACGGTATCCAGTTGTAGTTCCATCAATTTCATACGTGTGTTAAAACTGACCATGACTTCTTTGATGGCTTGGACAGCCTCCAAGACACCAGCAATATCAGCACTTTGATCCTTTTTGTTTTCCATCTTCCTAATTGTCATAAAAAGGTAAAAAACATCACATTATAAAAGGTTAAAACCACATTAAAACAATTAATTATATATATTTATGACTATTAACATACTAATATACATACTAATATAAAATGTTATAACCGGACATTTTATTAAATGTTTTTAGTAGAATTGTTATTGATTTCCCCCCTGGGGGTTCTCTCGTGTTTATACTATCCACTTAACCCTCTTACTAGTTAAGCCTCGTCGGCCGTCTTCTCGCCGTAGGAAAGACGATCGAAAACCACCAAGCCCAGATGGCGTATTTGGCTGCAAGCGGTGGAGATAGCAGTGCGTATTGGGTGGCAGGAGTGGGAACAAAGAGAAGGTGCGGCCGAATGACGAGATAAAGGGGTCGGCGCAAAAACCAGTTTGGGAATCCGATTTGAGCCGGGAGAAATGTAATTGGGCGGATCGCACTCCGAACCTAGTCATTCTCTCTCGGAAAGCACTGGGGAGGATTCGATTACGATTCAGTCCGAATCGCCGATCCCTTGTTGGTCGACGCTAGCGAAAACTCCATCCCCATGGCCACCAAGGACGGCTGCTTGAGCTAGCTGGTCGACGGCGAACTTCTGCTCAGCCAAGAAGAAGACGCCGGCCGGATTCAACCAAGGAAGATGTCTTCGACTCTGCTGGAGACGACTCGGGCGTCGCACGAGGAAGTAGAGCGGCTGGAGCGGCTAATAGTGAAGGATTTCCAGAAGGATCTTACTTCCAGCAAGGACCGTCTCTTGCAGAGCCACCGCGTTCGTAATACGATTGCCTCTACCAGTCATAAACTGGTAATGTCCCCCTCTATCTATCCTTTGGAACCGCCCTCTTTCCCAATTTCGACTTTCTACGCTTAATATTAGGTTAACTGAATGTAATTGCTTATGGCTAGTTCATGTTGATATATACGAAGATAAGGATCACGCTAGGAAGGACGAGATTGCTGCCCTGGGAGGCCAGACGTCTAGTGGAACTAATGTGTTTAGTGCATTTTATGATAGACTGAAAGAGGTAATGTACTGAACCATCTGCTTTCTTAACATGGAATAAGAACATAGTTTAGGTTTTATTATCTAGATTGATGATGACATGTTGATACTCGAATTGCAGTGGAAGCTCGGAATTGAAGGCTAATCGTACATACTTCTGTTATTGACAGCTATTGTACTTTGCATATGCATTATAGGTCCTGTAGTTGATTGATGCTATAGCTGTGAGATTTGGTTACTACTTAGTAGCAAATATATTTGATAAAACCATATCTGGATCTTGATAGAGAGGTTTAATTCAAGGCATCCTAGTGGGTTCAATTCTTGGTATGAATCTAGAATCACTAAGTTGTATGTAGATAGGTTTAATTCAATGCATCCTAGAGGTTAAGTATGAACACATACCTTACTTCTCCACCCAGGGACGTCGATTCTGCATAAAAATTCCTGCCCGCCATGAAAATCAGTACCAAACAATGAAATTAGGGTAGAAGGGAAAAAAACAAGCTAACTAATACCTTCGATGATGCTATGCGACTCTGGAAACCCCTACTCCCTTCCACGAAAAGTGAGTCCTGAAATAGGGATATGTTTTTATATAGTCCACAGTAGCAATGAGAGTTTGATATGAATTCAAATGCTTCATCTATCTATTATTAAGAATAAATATCCCCTTTTCTTGTTACGTAGTTGATTGAATATTTAGTTATATGCTTGAATAAACAGGTAGTTCCCTCCCGTGATTAATATTTTGCTGAATATTTTCAAATTCCAGATTGCTGTAATTTACCTTTTTAATTTTTTCGACGTCCTTGCTAGAGCCCTAATCTTTCCAACCGACTCACCTTTTTTTATTTGTCGACTTCCTCACCAGTCACCAGAACCCTACTATTCTTCTTCTTCTCCTTCTCCTTCTCCTTCTCCCGTATTAGGGGTTGTCGATGTACGGAGAGGCCTGTGGTTGAGCGCTAGCTATGAGGATCTGCAGATGGATTGTTGAAGGGCATGAAAATTGAAGTTTGTGGCGGTGGCTCGAGGGTTTTACGACTTTCTATCACCATCTCCAATTAAAATGGTAGGCTGTTTACTTTAACGGGCATATGAACTATACATGAGTCTGTTTACACAGTTGACATGGATGTTATTAGACTTGCAGATTTAGAGTCTCGAGCTATGGATTTCAACCAGCATCTAGCATTAAGGACATATTACAATATATAATTTCTCCCATCCTCCATGAATTAGTAGACCTTTTGTTGTAGAGATTGAACAAAAACCCATTTTCTCTTGTTATTCTTTCTCTTGTACAGACCAACACTCTCAATGTTTGCATATAGATGCAGAAGTTAATAATTTTGGTCTCCAAGGGAGCTTCGTTAGCTAGTTAGCTCACATTCCAGAGATGCAGAAACTAATAAATTTATCCTAAGGTTCCTAGCTATATTAGTTCGCTTTTGCACATCACTAGCTATCTTGGTTTTATGAGCTGGATCAATGCATTACATATATGAGATGGGTGGTGGGGAAACAGATCCATTTTGAGACCACATGTCCTGAGATTTGGGAAGACACAGTGGGACAATTGGACATCTTTGTGATGGGAATTGGCAGTGGAGGGAGTGTCTCTGGTGTTGGACAGTATCTGGAATCAGAGAACCCTAATGTCGAGGTACGCAAGACTGTCAGTTTGCTGGTTATTTTTTTCGATGATGTCTTTTAGTTATGTTTGGGGTTTTCATGATAGATATATGGAGGTATGTTTGCAGAAAGCAATGCTACCTGGAAAGAGGTCAGCCCATTGAACGAAGTGGTCGCGACTGGGTTATTTTACGATTCAGACTCTTATTTGAATTACAGAATATGGCTTTTAAAGAATCTCAAGTCAACACAGTGCATTCATTAGCTTACTTTCACAGATTACCTTGATCTCATGAACACCTTCTTCTACCAGCTTTGCCAGGTGTAGCTGCAGATATATTTTTGTGTGGTTGGGAAAAAATTACCGAAATAATGCTGAAGTGTGTTCGTTGTTATTTTCAGCACATGGTAGAGCTCTTCAGAAACGTAGTACTAATGTCATCACCCCATGAGAACGAGGGAGGGACCAAGCAAACGAGAGAGGTTACACTCGAAAAAGGGATGGCGCTTCTTAATATCGCGAATATGCAGCAGAGTATAAACCTTGCTTCTTCGTCCATCATACAAGGTTAATGCCACCGCCTCCATAAATGAGAACATTGTACAATGAATTCGTGGTTTACAAGTTAGCAAAGGCAACTGATTGAACTTCAAGACCTGTTAGGAAGGGGATTTGGTACACCCAGTGTTGATTGTATCAGTAGATGCAGCTGCAGAAGCCGTAGCTAGTTAGAAGTATGCATTGGTGAGCTTTTGATTCTTGTCAGCCACCACCATTAAGGGTGCGACTTTCCTCCATGTATGTTGTAAGTTGTAAGCTAACGGGATGCAGTTGATTGAGTAATGTATAAGATTGGCTAGGACATGAAAAATTAGTAGATTGTTATTGTTAAGTTGCATTTGGTCAAGGCGGTAGAGTGCAGTTGATTGACTATGTATACGGATGGTGCTTCCAAGCATAGACAGATTTTATTGGTAACAAGCCTATTGTACTCAGTTACTCATTGCTGGGCAAAAGTTAATGAACATACTATTAATTTTCCCCATACTCCCCAAGAGTTCATACTAACCTCAAGAACTATAAGTTCCTCCTAAAAGATAAAAAGTTACACAAGGAAAAGACAGACCAATTTTACAACAAAATATAAATATATGCCCATCTCTACTTTCAGACTCTTGCTGGGTTTTGCAGCACAGCAGATTGATAAAATTCAGACATCCCAGATGCTGCATCGACCTTCTCTCCCACAACCCATTTCAACTTTGCATAATCTCGTCAACAACCCTTTCTTCTCATAATTAGTACAATAGAAGTTATCCAACCAAAACAACCCCCCTAGTCGCACACAAACAATGTCGAACATATAGAACTCGAGCTTCTCCACCTTGCTACCAACAAACACATTGTACATTAAATGGAAACCTATGAGCCAAACTCAAGTACAGAGGGAACAACCATCTTGAATAGAACAAACTCACTAAATGGAGCATCAACATTCAATGTGTTTGTAATCACAGTGGTAGTTCAAATAAGATCACGAGCACCAGTAGCAGTTCAAATAAGTATACAAGTTTTGCCTGCTTTGGTCAATACGATATCTATTTTGCTCAGCTGCAAGACACAATAACAAAATGAAAGAGTGATCTAGCTGCGCCAATGAGAAAATATGTCCTCCATGCACGGAAACTGTTCTCGATTTCCATGTGAAGTCGGTAGAAGTGAAGTGAGTTGTCCGGAGTTTTGCTGTGCCAGTTGCTGCCGTATCTGACCTGCACTCATTCAGTACTGACCATATGAAAGAGCTCAAAGTAAGTGACCCATCATCCACATCGCCTACACCTAGGGTAAAGCATGCCCACGACCACTCCACCTTTCTGTCTAGGCTACATATCCACAACCAATATAACTGAAAGTAGCTATACCTTACCTTACCTTACAAGAGCAGGAATCTAACTGAACTCTCTGAGGCTGAAAAGAAATTCTTGTGGCAGAGGTTAGTCCTGGCCGACAGATGAGCGGACGAGGGAAGTTTTGGTACAAAATAGAGAGCACTGACTATGCAGGGGTTGGGTACGCTGCAATCGGCGCTTAAGATTGACCCTGGGGATGGGATCGACCACGAGGGCCGGAATGATTTGGGAGCGACCGCCGGTGAAGGATGCGTCTCTCCCTTCTCTAACCTTGACCGGTCTGGTCTTTGGCGGAGGCACTTTTCGATGGTGACAGAGGCCCGTGAAGATGCAGACTTCTTCGTCTCTGAACGAGTCACCGGAGTCATTTTGGAGATGGGATCGACCACGAACAAGTCACCGGAGTGATTTTCGCCAACGCCGGTGAAGAAGATCGAGGAACTCTCTTTCGGTTCGTCCCTCGTCGTCCCCAGTTTTTGAGTTTTCTGAATCTTCCAAAACCAAACGAATTGAATTAATGGAGGTGGAATACGCGTGAAGAATTTGGTGGAGGGTGTGAAGTTTGGATGAGCGACGGTGGTGCTCAGCAGAGCAGTGAGCGAGGGAACGAGGAAGACGCCAACGATTCGTTTTCCTTCACTTTTTTTGTTCAGAATACAAATAAATGCAACTGAATGTTAATGCATTTAAAATTAATAAATGGAAAAGGAAATAAATGTAACGGCTAAGCGAAGGCAGACGTTACTATTAGACGTTAGTTTCATGTTGGCTGGGTTCGGCCGCTTCTAATGGGCCATTGATTTGGATTGTGTTTAATGAAACCAGGCCATGCCACATCAGCTCCACATGGACCAATAGGAAACTGCGTTACCGGTGCTGCACTTTTTAGTGCGGCACTGTAGTATTGGCCGAAGAAGATAAGTGGGTAAAATGGTCTTTACACATTTTGAGCCCAAATTCCTAATGTATTACCAAACAAGTTAATTGGCCCAAATTCCTCATTAAAATTATCTAGGTTTTTAAATCAGAGATTTGAGCTCAAATCCTTGAAAAACCCTCAAAATCAATTTCCTGATCCAAACGACCCCTATGTGTATGGCGCAACTTGAAAATACAGCTATACAATTAATTTCTACCTAGGAACGCAGTCTGTTTGAGTTTGAACTGAATTTAACAAACGATTAAGGTGATTCGAAGGTTCTGAGTTCCTTTCCATTACGTTAACAATTTCTTTACATAATGATACTGATAAGCAGCCTCCTCTTTGAGACCCTTCAATACCAATTTCTATACATAATCAATATATATATTTTGCTGTTGATTGACTGTAAAAATTCGACTCTTACTCGGGACTAATCCCATTTCCATTCATGTTCCTTCTTGATATCTCCATTTCCATTTCTCTCCTCTCATTCTTCTCAAACTCACCCAGCCTGCTATTATCAGATAGTGAAGTCTCCAACTTCCTCCTCTTACTACTCCTACCCTTCTTGGAAGTGTCTTTCTTCTCATCCATTATCGACAACAGACGATGAATACTTCGAGAACGCGACGAGCTACCCTGACCGGACTCCAGAGCTTCATTAGGCTCAGTTCTATAAAGTTTCCTGATAACCTGCACAAAGTATATGACAAGAGCTACAAAGCATGCCACCCCACATATCAAGAAAAGGCCGACAAAGCTCTTGAGATGGAGCCTGTCTGATTCAATCTCTGAAGTCTCCGAACTGCAACTGGACCCCACCAGCCACTTATCATGGATCCTTTGGAGATCCCCGTTCTCCGATAGCTCCAGGATCGCGGTTGATATGTCAACAGCCAGTGGGGAGTCACGCGGAAATGCCTTCCAGGACAAGAAACAGGGAGAAAAAAAATTCTTCAGGAACAAGACCCTAGTAAGAATTTTCACTAATGTGACTAGTCACGGTTTCCAAATAGCAAATACTTACAAATCCCCAACCACTTTTGGTAAACTCTTGACCCACGATTCGGAACGTGCATTGAGATGCGAGGAAGAGTTCTACATAGGGGCGTTCATCAACAATTGCAGCAACTCCTCCATTCTTGGGACCCTTTTGGAGGGCTGCAGCATATTCTTCAGGTGAGCCAAGTTCAATTAGCCGAGACTTTGGTATGCGTAGCTCCTCTCCTAGATAGTATTCAGCAAAGGAACCTGTTTGATATCCTATAGGGTCATCGCCTTCCTTCAAGCTTTCGATTCCTTTGATTGGAGAAAAGAGCTGTTGCACTGTGAGGATTGATGTCAGGCTTGCTGTGTAGCTGGAGTTGATTATGAGAACCACAAAGAGCCATATTAACAGCACCATCCGCCCAAGTGTGCTCACTGTGTTCTCTCCTGTCAAAGCAACGAGAAATTCAAGTCTGTAAATGGTGTTGTTCAATTCACATCATAACTGGTTAATTCATCTATAATGTACTTGCCACTGAAGTTTGGAACTAAAATAACAGTCAGTCCGCCCATGGCCAGTATAGCTAATTACGCGTGAAGTCCGGCAACCTACATAATTAACCACAAAACTCACTGCACAAGCTAAAAGAGGCACTCACTGTGGGCGAAAAACAAAGTTGAGAAGCTGAACCTGCAAAGGTTGTCACAAACATATCAGACACAGCTTTCTGTGATAGAGAAAACCATGACCAGTTTGGTCAATAAAACTCACCACAAAACAGTAATGATCTGTCTTTTCGGAGGGCCTCTGAATTCGTCATTGATCCTGTGCTCCAGTATCCACACAACAATGCCAACAGCAAGGAAGAAACAACCAGTGACGATCCACATGATGGGACTGAAGGGCCTAAGGAAAGCCCATGCCCCTGTGTTCAACTTCCTGAATGGAACCACCACAACCAGCCCAGATGCCACATAAGGCTGAGAGAAGTCTACTATCTTTGTTCTGTTTGTAACAATGGCAATGTCACCAATAGCAGCGTCAAGAACCTTGAAAAGAAAGATGAAAAGAGAATACTGTAAGGACATCATGTGGTTGAAACGTAGAAGTCAATTGCGTAAATGGTCACTAATCTTTGGGGCCAGTGAACTTTATACTACTTGATCTCCATGCAAAAATATATTTGCAAAAAGGACCCCTAAAGATACAAACTTTACCCTACTTTATCTATAAGCAAACAGAAGTAAGCATCTACTACTACTCACTCCTGTGTAGACTGAATTCACTATATCTGTGTAGCTGGGGTTCTTCTTCCCATCTCCAACAGGAACAAACTGATACGGAACAGGATACTGCAACAAGTTCAAAGCAGCAGTGAAAACATCTATACAAAATCCTTGGAACTTGTCTGATGTTCCTCTGACTGGCGACACAAACTCCTTGTAGCTAACTCGAATAGGCACACCAATCCTCAATTGCTTCCCATTATTGGGGAAAACCCATCCACGAGGCTTTACAGATGTCTCACCGGGCCAAATCACACTATACAGCTGCTGGTCAGCACTCGAACGATTCGGTGGACTCGTGTAAAGTGTCTCAGGAGTGACAGTTGACAAACCAGAATAATTTGACCAGTAACCAACCCTTCTAAACCCAGTCCCAACCACATTAATCACATCATAAGCTGGAAGGACCAGAGATCGATCCGATTCGAACTTGATACGACCAGCCAGACCAACAAAATCGCCCTGCAGTATGTTTTTCAGGAGAAGCTTCCCATCGTTGAAAATGCTCATTGCATCCAAGTGAAGGTTACTGTCTCCTCCTGCACTCAACCTTGAGTCATTAGAAAATGAGATGACCCCACCTTGGTTGAAGAACTTGTCGATGGCTTGAGCAACAAGCCACACAGAATCATAAGCAAACAGGCCATAGGAGTTCAGCCCAGGAAAGCCACCACTGTTCCACCTAGAGATAAATGCCTTCTTTCGATCTGAATCTGCAGTATGCTGGCGAAGAACAAGGACTCCTTGTATCTTCTCCATAGTATCAGAATCAAGTGGTGTAGAATCAAGCACAGAAGAAAGCCAATCTGTTGCTATCCATACATACCCATTCCCCATCATTCCCAAATAATTCGCCATGGAGAAGATCTCGAAGCCCTTTTGAGGATAGACATGAAGAACAATGACCCGAGATTCCATCATTGCAACCTTGACAAGAAGGTCCATTGTGTCACTTGAGTTAGCACCAGATTCAGGAGGGATTCCCACTTTGTAGGAGATTTTGCACCGCCTCTCAGCAAGCTTATCGCCTAGAGCTGAAAGGCCATTTCTTCCATAGTCATCATCGATGTAGATAGCAGTTACTTGCTTCCAGTTATAGAAATCCACCATCTCGGCCACTGCAGCCATTTGGTAAGTGTCACTGTGCGTGGTTCTAATGAAGAAGGGGAACTGAAGCGAGTTGAGAGTTGGGTCAGTTGCTGCAAATGAGAGGAGGGGAACTTGGAGCTCGTTTGCTACATGGGAAATGATATGGGCGACTACAGAAGATTGTGGACCAATGATGGCGACAGTGTCAGTCTCCATGAACTGCAGAGCTGCCATTGGCACAAGGAGATTGTATGGTTTTAAGCTTGAGCGTACATACAACATGCAGATACAACACAACAAAAGACAGTTTTAAGTTGAAATGTAGATACAACACAACAAAAGACAGTTTTAAGTTGAAATGTAGACAGTAAGCTACCTTCAACCATGCCTACGAACCCACTGCAATTGGTGTTCTGCATCTGCACTTTCAGTATGGTTCTCGGTAAGATGCTGGAATTTGCATTCACATCTTTGACAGCTTCCCCGATGGCAATATTAGCAACTCTTCCAATGGAGGACTCAAATGTGAAAAGGGCTCCAATATTTACTACAGCAGGCCTGGAGGTACCATTTCCACTGTGGCCACCAGGGAATAGTCTAAAGAAGAGGAACACGAGCAGAAGAGAGCAAGTTGTCTTCATTTGAAGCCAAGAATGCCACTATGATCTCCAAGTGCCCACTGAATGTGTGCCCAATCAACCCATGAGAACTTAGAGATTAATAATGAAAGTTGGGAAGCACCCTTGTCAAAAAAATAATGAAAGTTGGGAAGCAAACTTCCATCAGAATTGTCAATATACCAACACAAGCAAGCAAAGTAAATGAATTCGAAAATGGATCAAGAACCTACTGCTTTGCGTATGGGCAGACACATAAGAGGAAGCACAAACCTTGGCAAACATTCAGCCAACAAACCAGATTTTTTGAACCATCCCATTTCAAAGTTTGATATTTTAGGCCATTAGGTTTCAAGTTCCCACTCAATGGGAAAGATACCGAAGAAGGAAAAATCCAGCTTAGGCGTCAAAAGAATGACAGGGTAGCTAGCAGAAACAAGGATCAGATTCTCAATTCAAATAAAGAGCAATCTACAACCCCCATTATGCAAACTGAGGGCCTCTTTCCTAAATATAGGCAGGCAAAATTCGGCTTTCTTGAAACAACCCACGTGAAACACCAACCATTTACACACACGGTGAAGAGAACTCAAGTACTCAACATGGGGGGAAATATTGTGGAGGACCATTGACACCCTTCTTAAGTAATTAATAAAAAGGGGGGAGAATCTAGTGCAGATGGCATTTCAGCTTTCAAGAGAGAGAGGCAAATTACGAGGACAGAAGAACAAAGTGAGAAACTTGAAATCCACGCGAACCAAAAGACCAGAGAGATACATAACTGTTTAATTAACGTGCTCGAAGGTAAATGCTTTCCCTTCCCATTCTGCTAAACAAAGAAGCAGGGACTTGCAAAAAGGACAGAACTTAATTTACCCATTTCTATGGCAGCTGGTGGGTTTGAAGCCATTCGAGCAAAAAGTGAAAAATTGGTGAGAGAGTTTACGAATTGGGAAGGAAGTGCTAAGTTACCCAACTAAGAACTAACCTTTTCGGCGGCGGAAGTCTGATGAACCAATCACAGAACCCAGGTGTGGGATTTTTAATGTTTCATCAAGTGGGGAAGTGGGGAAATGGACAACCAGAAAGTTTGTGGCTAGTGTGAAAAGAAGAAGGAAGAAGAGAAAAGTGGTGGGGATGGGGAATGACGGAAAGAATTAAAGATGAAAGCTTTGAGCAAGCAAAGGGCTGCGGCGACAAGACAAAATTGCGTAGCTGAAGTTGAAGAATCACGTTTAGAGGTTGCAGAATAGAATAGAACAGAATAGACGCAGGAGGTTCGAGAAAAGGATGGATTCAATCTGGTTTTGGTTTGGGGTTTAAGCATGATAATGATGGACTTATAATGACAGAACAGTCTTCTTGGATCCCGACATTTTGACATGACAAAATGATGGTAGAATATACTTTTTGTGATAGTTAAGAAAATTAGGCAAACAATTCATTTGTTTGCATTATTGTGATGAAGCTCAACAATTAAACAGTACATACTATAATTTATATGATGGTTGATGAATAACTAAGAAAAATAACAATTTTGGAAAGAATGAAAAATCATAAGTAGTGAGTCATGAGACTCTGAATCTCAATGAAAAATTCGAGAAAAAATATATATTTTTGTAATTTGTATCAAAGAGTCAATTTGAAAATGATAAATAAGATTCCAAAATTGCGAAACATAATTATAAAATATTAGTTTTTTTGTCAATTGAATAAGTATGAGTAACGAATCTATGGATAAATAGAAAAACATATTTCGAATCATAATTATATCTTGAGAATTTTTTGTTTTTGTATGGTCGAGATTAAAGCAAAATAAGTATTCCACTAAATTGAATGCCTTTATTGTAAGATGTAGATGCATTGGGTATAATTGTATAAACAAATATATGTGTAAATTTATCAATTAAGCTGCATTAACTTTTATTAATAGGTGAGAGATGATTACCATGATGAAACCTTCGTCCTTCTTGTCCACCGCCTAATAATGCCAAGTTAATGATGAAAGTCTCTTGGCATTTGATGGTGATTAGGATTTTAATGACTTTGGGCATTGGTTTTTCAAGCCGCACTATTAGTATTTTGTACTAAAATAGTGAGCTTGATTAATTTATTAGGGACGACCTAGGTAATCATGTAGAATATATAGGATTACACGAACAACCCTAACTCAACCATTGAAAACAACGCCCTCTACATGTCCATCTATTCATAGGCAAAGTGGTAGATCACTTTTCAGAAAACTAGTCTACCTCTTTTGTATAAAATGGTAGATTACTTTCTAAGAAAATGATCTATCGTTTCCATCAAATAGTCCACCACTTTTGACAAGCGGTCGACCTAATGACATATGTACTTTCAACCTACACTCAATTGTTGGAAGTGGCAGATCGTTTCCGCTAAATGGACTACCAATCCCGACAAGCGATCTACCGCTTCTAGAGAACGGTTCACGCTTCCGGTGAACAGTCAACCAAATGACATAATTACCTTTTACTTACATTAGGAAAATAATGGACGATAGGAGGCCTACAATACAAAATTATTTTGTAGTAATGCAACATCCTCTCACCCGTGGGCAACCAAATCTCTGCGCAGATCATAGGCCTAGATAAAAAGAAATAACACCCTCTTTTTAACACTTATGGAATAAAAGCCCATAAAATCAAGATGATATGAGATTTATGGACATTGAAATGACACAATTGTATATCATTATACTTTACTTTTTAAATATCTTCATAACAACAATAGCAACAAAAATTATCTATCACAATTCACAAGACAACTATAGAATGAAAACAAGAAAACTTAGAATTTGAAGAAAAGATGAAAGTCTCTATATAGTAAGTTAAATAATAAATATGCAGAAGATTTCACAAATCTACGAAAGAACAATCACTCAAGAAACTTCTCATCTATGTTCCATCGTTTGTACTAATTTTTAACTCTCTAGCTAGTAAACATATCAATTAATATTGGACTCCTCTAATAATATATGATTATGTTATTAGCAGTGCTTCATCAGGCCGACTAGTTGCTAGAAGCGGTGGACCTCTTAATGAAAGAGGTAAACCAATTTCTTGGAGAGTAGTAGAACGCTTAGTGAAAGAGGTAGACAGTTTTCTCCAAATCATCGTGACTTGCAAGCCACTGTAGCAAAGTCCTAAAAGGTATTCTAGCATGGTGATCTCTACAAATTAAAGCAAAATTTTTTAATTTTAATACAATTAAATACATTTACAAGTTATTAGTATATACTTCTTACAAGACGTGGGGCTTTTTACCTTTGAAAAGAGAACAATGAGGGTCTTGTTAAATATCTTTGGTCCCGACATACTCCAATGTCTCTAGAAAAAAATGGTTGGGAAGCCATCTTCACTAAGAGCCTTGGTATCACCCAACTGGAACAAAGTGGTTTGGATTTCCCAGTGTTATTAAAAAAATGCAGAGCTGGCTGGTCGGACAGCTAAAATTATCACCCGGTCACCAAACCAACTTGACACAGTCTAAAAACCTCTACGGTGTTATGTAGCGCTTTAACCGCTCGATCAGCTCAAACCGCCCAACCGGTTTTTAACTTCTTGGCCAAATTTTTTTTTAAGAGAATAAGAAACAAGGATAAAGAGAGTCGCCGCCTCTGTTCGTCCGCATGACTTCCTCAGCCGCATCACCTACTGCGGCGCAGGGGCGGAGCTACAGCTGGTCTCGGGGGGGCCCCGGCCCCCCCGAGAATCGTGAAAGTTACGTCTAAACTGTATCGATACTTTGAAAATTTTGTAAAAATTAACAAACGTGTAATAGGTTTAGTGTGCAAGTTTGTTAAAACAAAGTAGGCTTAGTCGAGCGGGGAGGACATCAATTATGATGCCTCAGGTTGAGGGTTCGATACCCAGCCTCTGCAATTATGTTATTTTTTATTTGCATTTTATTTTAATATATCTACATAATTACTCTTTTAAATTTATTATTTCTTGACTCATTTAATTAGATATAATTACTCTTTCAAGTTTCATGTTATGGTTTCTTCATTTCCTTATTTCAATATTATTTATTGACTCATTTAATTTCAAGTTTAGTTTTTTTTTACCACTTTGCAATTTTATTTCACTGAAAAATTATCCATTTTGACCTTTCATAAGTTATTCTACATCAATATTTTGACTCTGATCATCTAAAATGATTAATCATAATACTAATAAAAGTAAAATTTACTTTGATTGTCTTGCTTAGTTTTTAATTTTTTATCACCCTTCTGCGGTAATAGTATTAAATAATTTTCGGCCCCCCCCGAACGTCAAATCCTAGCTCCGCCCCTGCTGCGGCGAACCCCACGCCGACAACATCTGCTAATTGCAGCTTGCGTCTTTGCTTCCGTCTACGTGCTAGCGGAGAAGAGGTTCTCCTGTTTGCATCAGCAGCTCCGCTGTTCCTCTGCACTCTATCGCCTGCCGCCTCTGGCTCTGGCTTCCATTTGCTCCCCTGTCAACGAAAGGAAAAAGGGAGATGGATGGTGATACGATCGTGAAGAGGATGAGAGGGAAGATGAGGAGAATTAGATCTGATTCCCACAAGAGAGGGGAGAAAAGGAAATAAAAATGAAAGAAAAGAGAGAGTGTGTGGGCAGGGGCGGACGTAAGGCAAGGGAGCGTGTGTCGGTTTTCGACAACCCTTCGATAATTATAACCGACACACCTTCATTAAACTGGAAGAATTTTATTATTTAAAATGAATCCATCTTAAATTTTAATTAACAATAATTCATTTTCAATTTGATTAAAATAACTCTTAATCCTATCAATTGCTATTAAAAAAACCCACATGCAATGCAGTCAAAAGCGTGATTCTACCTAGAAGCGGTTGGGTGACCTAGAAGCGTAAAATTGTAAGTTTTTAAGTTTTAAATCGTAGATTTTGACTACATTTGTAAGGGAAAATCACGATTCTATATAGAAGCGTTTTGGTGACCTAAAAATGTACAAACGTAAGCTTTTAAGTTTTAAAGCGCGATTTTGGCTGCATTGCCCACAGGCCATACCAATGTACATGTGTGTTGGGCCTGGTCCTTTCATTAAGGGAGAAACAAAAAAACCACGAAAGCCCAAGCGGCCATGGCCGAGATTACCAGAATCACTACAAAAAAGAGGAGGTTTGGGGAAGGCAAAAGTTTGTATGCAAAAATAGCAAAAATCATCCCTATTACTAGGGACGACAGTCGTCCCCGATACTAACAAGTCATCATCTCGCTTCTTTTCCATCAAAGACAACATGTCGTTCATATAGCTAACACTTTAGTGACAATAAGTCGTCCCTAAACATCAATCCCAGGGATAGACTGTCGTCCCCAATAATCAATTTCATGATTATGTTGGGCCTATCTGGGGATAAGCTATCGTCCCCTTTTTTATAGGGTTGACATGTCGTTTCTATAGGTATCAAACTGGAGTCCAAAAATCGTCCCTGAAAAGTTTATTCAAGGACTACGAGTTATCTCTTTTACTATATCTTTAGAGATGACAAGTTGTCACGTATGACTTTTACCCTGTGTTTTTTTAGGAAGGAAAAGGAGGGGAGGGGAAGGGAGGGAGGGGAAGGGGGTTTCCCAATACGTTTTCCCCCGTTCTCCAATGACTGAACAGTGGGGAGGGAAAGGATTTAGGGAGGAAAATTCACTTTTGGAGTAGTCCCTCCAAAATGGAGAGAAAACAAGTTGGGCCTTTTTTATTTTTTTATCCTTTTCAAAATACTGAAATAGCAACAAAGGTAGCTTTGTTGTCCCAAATTCTTTCTTTATTTTTTTTCCATTTCAAAATGGCTACACGTATAGAAGCTTTGCCCATAATTTTTTATTTTTTTATCCTTTTCAAAATACTGAATTAGCAACACAGGGTTAATTTCCTGAAAACAAAGTATAGAAGCTTTGCCCATAATTTTTTTTTGTAGCTTTTATTATGAAAAGGAAACTTATAATTATAGATTGATAGTTGAGGAATGTATGTTCGAGATCATTATATAGTAAAATCATTTTTGAGTTTGGGGTACGATTTTTTCGGTAGAACTGTTTGCGATTTTCACATTTAGCTAACGACATAGTACAAATAGCATATCGAAAGTTTCATAATATAAATGACACATTGGATAAAGATTGCTATATTTAGTTGTATTAGTCCTTAAAAATGAAAATGGTAATGATTGGTTATTCATGAAATTCATTTCAACATATAATTAAATTATTTTACTATAACATAACCAATAAAATAACATGTACATCACACTTTTCAATATAATCCGATATGAATACT